ATTTACGAATCTATTTGAAGACAACCACAACTTTAATGCTTGTGTTAATTGATTTCTTTTACTTCTTGCATTTTCTTGAATTTACGGCAAGTTAAGGGTGGATTGAAGCATTATTGGATTTCAAATTGCCATCACAAAGCAGCCCCTATCTTCCCTCCCACTCCCAGACCCAGTAGACCTATCGCCACCTATCAAGGTATCCACGACAGCCTCAACCAAGTCCGTGATCGTTTGGATTTTGCTTGAAGCTGCAGTTTTGAATTGATTTTTTGCTTGGGTATTTTGATCTTCTTTTGAAACTTGCAGTTTTGGCTTGGATTTTTCTTAGAAACTTTGCAGTTTGGTAGGAAATTTTATGGGTATTTTGATCCTCTTTTGAACTTGCAGTTTTGGCTTGGATTTTTCTTGAAACTTTGCAGTTTCGGTAGGAAATTTTGTGGGTATTTGGATTTTGCATCTAGGCACTTGGATTTTTTGAGATGGGTATTTGAATTTTTGGCATTCAGACAGATTTACTCAGTTCAGACCACAAAAAAAAAAAAAAAAAAAAAAAAAAAAAAAAACACCATATAAGACTTCTCCTATGATTTTTGGATACTTCATTCTACCCTATCTTTCACACTTAATCACATAAATACCGTCGTTTTTTGGTTGATTATTTGAAGAAAAAAAATATAATGTTAAAAGATATATGAAATATTGAAATGTGGAAAATATATTTAGTGTATAAATATATATATATATATATATATATATAAGATATATCAATTTAAATTGGGTTGAAAATGCATTTTTTCGGAAAGCATATGAGCAAACTCGAGCAATGTATTTTTTAAATATTTTATATGGATCAAATTGATAGTATATAATCTATTAAGTAAAACATTGATATTTATATATAAACTTAATTGGTAAAGGGGCATTTTAGTCCTTAAATAACACATAAAATTTGGAAAAAGGGGTTTGGACATACCAACTCAATAGCCATATTTTCCTAAAATGTACAGGTTTTATTTAAATGATAAGTCTAACTGCAAAATTTAATGAATTACCTATTATACCCTTAATAAATCAAAAAATGATGATATATTTTAATATTCACCCTTTGACTATCCAGTCAAGTATAATTGTATGGTTTAATAGTGTAAATGTTTAATTAAACCCTTTATTTTAATAGATTCTCAACTTTTCACTATAACGTGTCACATGTTAACAAGTTTTAACATGTGTCACTATAACGTGTCACACGTTAACAAGTTTTAACATGTGTCGATGCTTTTTTTGGTAGAAGACTGGCTTATTTTGGTAAAAAGCGGCTCATGTTAGCAACATGCAAGCCGATGATTTTTGGCTTTTTCCAACCGATTCCGAAGTTCAAAATTATTTTCGAGACCATCATTGAACTCCACATAACCTCCTCTACAAAACTCATACATTCACTTGTCGACCTCACTCACTGTTTCCAAACACCTCCAAGAATCACTAATGGTGTTAATTTAAGGGTAAAAATCTAGAATAAATGCAATCAAGGATATCAATTTAGGATTTCACTAAACCTGGGAATGTGTCATTTAGTCTTTTATCAAGGGCAATTAGATTGAGTAATGTGATTTTATGACTAAATATGTCTTTAACAAGGGGTGCATTTGTTTAGTTATTTGGAGTAGTATTTTTGAAATATTATTGTTACGTAGAGTTTGCTGGTTCTTATGAGGTAAAATTTGAAAATTAAAAATAGTTAAATAATTTAGGATATGATTTTGAGAATAGGAAAATAAATATGTATTTTGATTTGGAATATGAATAGGATATGAAAACAAACGCGTATTTTAGTTATTTGGAGTAGTATTTTTAAAATATTATTATTAGATAAAATTGGATAAATATTACGAGATAATTAAGTAGTTATTACACTGTAGAATTTAAAAATTAAAAATAAGAAAGAAATGTTTATTTTGATTTAGAATACGAATAAGATATTTAAACAAATGCGCCATTTTGAGAATTAAGATAAGTTAAAGATGACTATAAATGAGATTTAAGATTTTTGCCTTTCATGGTGGAACTCACAGCTTGGCCCTTTGAAAGATGGCAACTTTTTGCGGATTTGGGTAGCCGATGAGTTGCCAGGCCACAACGGCCTACGAGGTAGCTGTCCCGGGCGCTTCCAGGCTTTTTGGCGAATGCCCAAATTGGCGGCGTGAAGGTTCATCCAAGAAGATGAAAGAACCCAGATCGCAGGATCTAATTGCGGGTTTTTGAAACCTGCAAGAGACAGCAAGGGTCTGTTTATTAAAATCATACATATAAATTTTAATTTTCATATTATCTGATATTTTTTTGTTAGTATTATATTTTTCAATTAACAATCAATTAAATCATATATTTACTTAATGGAAAAAAAAAGAAAAAAAAAACATTAGTCCTAAAAAGACATGATAATTTGGTAGGCCGGTGAAATGGGACCCATTATATGGATAAGGTCAAATGCACATTATCCATAAAATAAAAGATGTAAAATTCTGATTCAAAACTTAATGCTTAAGCAAATGGGCAAGCATTACCAACCAAGTAAATTATTATCTGACGTGGCAATTTCACATTAATTTCTTTTTATTTTTTATTTTCTCTAATTGTTTACAAAATTTAGGAAGTGAGAAGATTCTTTTTCTTCTAAATTTTTGGAAACAGAAAGACCATTAATATGGGGACAGCCGGACTGGTCAAAGAGTACCAGCCAGCCGCCCGTGCAATCAAAATACAGTACTATTAAAGAGTAAGCAACTTTTTCCTCCCTAAAGTTTGCCTTACTAACAGTTCAAAAAAAAAAAAAATTTTAAAATACCTTATTTCTCACCTAATATTTATATTCTATTAATATCAAAAATATATTTTACTGTTTTTATCTAGTATTCGGTAAGTTACTAAGAATTAAGGTAATAAAATTTTTATAGAGTAGAGGTTTATAGATCAAATGATAGTGACTGATAAAATATTTTTTATCAAAATCAGATAAAAATTAATTAAGAATAAAAAATTTTAGTTTTATGATGATTGATAATTATTAAAAAATTAGATATTAGAGTAAAATAAGTTTTATAGAAAAGACTTTAAAAGTTCAAATGACGGTGACGGATAATTTTTGATACCGGAATTGATTTTGGATAGTAACGAAGAAAGGGTAAAAAAGGCAAACCTTGGTTGGAAAGAAATCGTTTACTCTACTATTAAATGCACATTGACCTTTTTCCTTTTGACCTATACGGCTATACGCACACAATTGATAGATGACATTTTATAAATAAATATATTCACCTTTTTTATGCTAATTAATGCATATATATATATTTTATGATTTTTATCACGACAAGTGAGGATAATAGAATAATGTGTAACCTGTTTTGCTGCTGTTTTCTGCTACCCACATGTGATTTATATTACTATTAAATAATCTTTATTTTTGCTGTCATAAAATTTAAAAAATAGATGAAAAAATAATTCTACTTAATTATCTCAAATATATCAAAATGATGCCAAAGAATGTAATCTTTGAGCAGTCTTCTACTGTGTGTAGGGTCTAAGGTTGGATGTGTCTGCATCATACTCGTTTACTAGTTACTACTTTACTTCATCTTTGCCTCTTCACATCTGCAAAAACACTCTCTCCATCCCCGACCTTGAACCCTAATCTTTATTTTCTTCATTAATTCATTCCTCCATCGAGCTTTACCTCCCACACAAACTAGTCCTTGAAAGAAAGCAACGCTTGAAAATTTCATTAGCAGTTAATATGAGAAACCCTTCTTCTGGTACTAGAACCCCGTGTTGTAGCAAGGTGGGCATCAAGAAAGGCCCGTGGACTCCGGAGGAAGACGAGATCTTATCCAATTATATCAAGAGAGAAGGTGAAGGCCGCTGGCGTACGCTCCCGAAACGTGCCGGGCTGCTTCGTTGCGGCAAGAGTTGCCGTCTCCGGTGGATGAATTATCTCAGACCCTGTGTTAAAAGAGGTCGCATAGCTCCTGACGAAGAAGATCTCATTCTTCGCCTCCATCGCCTGCTCGGGAACAGGTACTCTTTGTTCTGTTTCTTCCGGTCCTCTCATTTTCTATGCAATCACGTTATTTGCCAATAAGAGCTCCGTCAATCTCCGGTTCTTCTTAACCCAATATGAATCTCTTCCAATTGATCTTCTACTGCTGCAAGATGAATTTGAACTAGGAGCTTTTGTGCTTCATCTCTTTCTTCCGGTAATTTGGTGTTTAATCATTTCTTCCCCAAATTAATCGTTCAATTCTCCATCAATATTCAGATGATGATCACGCGCATTACAAGAAAAAAAGGGATTCCTTATCGGTCATAAACCGTGAATACGATCAGATGTTCACAGTTTACTGACTTTCCTTGTATCCAGCGTCAAGAGTTCACTTGTTTTACTTTTTTATCGATGAATGATTTGTTAATGTCAACCTTCATGTTCTTACTCTCAGGTGGTCTTTGATAGCGGGAAGAATCCCGGGACGCACTGACAATGAGATCAAGAATTATTGGAATACCCATCTTAGCAAAAAGCTGATTAATCAAGGAATTGATCCAAGAACCCACAAGCCGTTAGACCCATTACCTACTTCCTCAGATGTTATCGGAAATAATGATCATCTCGCTTTAACTTCAAACCCTAACCCTAATACTCATCCCAATCTCAATCCCGAATCTTTAGACACAGAAGCAACAGCTACTGAAAGCAATGAAAACTTCATTACCAATCTTCATCATCATAATCAAAAACATCAAGTGGAGGATAACGAAATGGAGATGGATGGTTTCATGATGGGTTTACCAAATAGCCACTCTGCACACATCAACCAGGAAAATTATGTCGAAACCTATAACGAAGATACATTCTCTTCATTTCTCGATTCTCTAATCAATGACACGATGTTTGTGAGCCAACAGCTGCAGCAGCCAAACCCAGTTCATCACCTCACGAGTAGTGGTCATGGTAACATTTGGGAAGGTGAAGTTGCATCAACGATGACTTATTTAAGTGAGGAAGAAAGAGCGTTGGATCACCATCACCATCACCATCTTCGTCACCATCACCTTGCATGAAGCTGCAAACGAATTGAATCAAAGATTAAATATAGGTTTGATCAGTTCTATGATTTATGGTTGTGGTGTGTTTTTCTCCTATATTACTCTTACTAGACTTGGTTTTCTTTTGCATGCTGTTGTGCTCTTATTTAAGATCTATTACTCTTTGTTGTAAAACCTTAAAAAAAAAAAAAAAAAAACAAACCTGATGCTGAATTTTTTATAATGGATATGAATACTTAATTAAGCATGTATTTACGTACATTTATTGGACCATTTCATATATACCATTTCACACATATATAATTTATTATTGCATTATTATATTTTATTTTGTTTATAAATGTATGATCATTGAGCCAAGCACATTATGCCATATCAGTTTAAACGTATTCAATATTTATTAGTTTATACGGTGTTTGTGTATAGAGATTTAAAACTTTCTTCACCACTAATTTCTTTCTTCCCTTCGTTGATTACTGTATTAATCCCTTCTGTTTCTCATAATCCAATTGTCTACTGCTGCCGTTGTTTTAATGATTTTCTCTCATTAAGATCTACGTTAATGTATTGCATGTAGAATTGTATGAAGTTATCCTTTATCTGCACGTTTAACCTATTACTAGGCACAGCTTTATATAACATCTGCAACTTGTTTGTTTCTTCAATACTTCCAGTTTCTTCAATTAATTAAATGCTTTGGTGTTTTCCATGTAATGATGTAAATCTTAGGGTCATTTGCTCGTGTTTGATGTTTCATTTAATTGTTTTCCAATAAAACCTGTTTTATAAAATGAAAAAAGGAAGTAGATTTTGTACTTTACATATCAGACTGAATATATACGTGCAATAGTGTTGTATTTTTAAGAGTATTTTATGATGGGCAATATCATGTTGATAAATGGATTTCATAAACTTTCTCTCCCAACCCCAACGTGACGCTCCCACCACATTACTAGGTGATTTTAGTAGACAAAAAAATTTAATCAAAAACCAATAATCAACATGTCACGTCAAGTTTATGAGAAAAAATATATTATCTGATTGTTATTATTTTGATATTATTAAGTCTTACTGTAATTAAATTTGAGTGATTCATATATTTATACTGTATTATTTTAATTTTTTTTAACTTATGTTAGTTTGTAAGATAAAAATTATTAAGCAAAATTTTTTGGCTTTTATCTTGATACCAAGACATCTAAAATTATTTAATTATTATTGTTTTTTTTTTAAATCAATAATAGCCTTATTAAATTCATTGAATTCCAAATCTAATTATCTTTTCTTTCGGATTCTTCAATTTGTTACAATTTCCAAAAAAAAAAAAATATATTAACTCATCAAACATTATATCAACTCATCATATTTTCTATCATTACTAGAAAAAATTGCAAATGAACAATAATATTAATAAAATAGAGTAAATTGCTAAAATAAATATAATGTAGTTTTGTTTCTTAAATATTTTTTTTATTAATATACCTAATTTCTTAATTTTATTACTTTGAAGATTTTTAATGAAATAATATAATTATCTTTAACTCATACATTTGTTTTGTTTTGATTCTCACAATTTAATTGTTTATTATTTTTTAAACATGTAAATTTTAAAATATAATATGACATTTAACAATGACATATATGTCAAAATGCTAATTTTAAGATGTTTAACATTTACAAAAAGAGTAAACGGCATGTTCCCACCCGAGGTTTAGCGAAATGGCAAATTGATACCCCCGGTTTCATTTACTCCAGATTCCTACCCTTAAAGTAACACCGTTAATTTGGTGGTGATGAGGTTGGCTTATGGGTAGTAGCTGGGCGAGGACTTTAATAGAGCAGGTTATGGACATTAATTATGGCTTCAATTTTCGGCGATTTGGGAGTCACCAACAACCAGAAAACACATCACAACAATCAACTGATGGTGGAGAAGCTGGTGGTGAAGTCTGGAGAGGTCGATTGTGCTTAAATCGATCGAAAAAAGCTTGAGAAGTAACCTAATCTCACAAGATGGCAAGAATGGAGGTGGTTCGAAAATGTTAAGTGAGGTCAAAAAATAAAGGTATAAATTTTATAGAGGAGGTTATGGGGAGTCCAACGGTGATCTCGAAAGTGATTTTAAATTTCGAAATCAGCCGAAAAAAGCCAAAAATTGCTGGCTTGGATGCTGCTAACATGAGCTTGTCTAAGAAAACATCGACGCACTTTAGCGTGCTAACGTGCGTCTCGATACAGTGTATATGACCATTTTAGCAAATGATGTTATTTTAAGAGTAGGAATCTGGAATAAATGAAACCAGAGGTATCAAGTTACTATTTCGTTAAACCTCGAGTGGGAACATGTCGTTTATAAATTAACAACTCAACACTTGTAATCACACATTAAAAGTGAAAAAACAAAAATATTTTTCATATTTATTCAGATTTTTTTTTTCCAATTTAGGACTTATTTAGCTTTCAGATAAAAAAAAAAAAAAAATGCCACCTTAATTAGTATTCTGATGAAGTAAATAAAAGTTTTGCATGCTTAATTTTCAAATCTCAGTTGTCTAAAGTGTTGATGCATAATTTTGACACCAACTACTCACACGTGCAAAGTGCTAAGTTGTTCTTAGAAATTACACTTGAATGATTGTAAGAGTAGATTATGGTGTAGAGATTATATATGTTTGCAGAAACATAAATAATAGATTGACAAAAGACATTTTTATAGTGGTTCGGATGCTTAAAGTGAATCCTACATCCACTGTTATTTTATTATTCTTTGACTATTTTTTTGATATTGCCTGTAAGATATACAAAAATAGAGAAATGCTTTGTTTATAGAGAGAAAATAACAAAGCTCAAATGTTTGTCTAGCTCTCATATGCCTAGCCAGCCCCTTTTTCATGAACAGAGGTGTCCATTTATACATTTGAGGTCAATGTAATGAGTGTTTTTGCAAGTTGTCTTGACATGTGAGGACCACTCCTTAATTCTTATCTTAAAATGGGATAGGATTGATATAAAATATCTCTTAGAGGCAGTTTGAGTTTTTGATAGCTAATATTACCTAATCTTTAAGTGCTTGTTGGACTCTGATTGGTGGTGCTGATACTAATGTGTATTTTTGGCACAACAGTACCCCTTAGTTTTTGGAGTGCGTAATTGCACTTCAAAAACTCATGTCTTAGATCTAAATGGTTGTTGCACTATAGGCTATAGTCTCGAACTAAATAGCTCAAACTATGCCAGGCATAATTGGGTGTTGAGAGCTAGGATTGCAATCTAAGAGCTTGGAGCAATCCGAAGCTGAGCGCAATTTAAGAACTGACATAAAATGTCCAGGAGATAAATTCCTGAAGAGAGCTGACGTCAGAAGCCTAAATGCACGGTTTAGAAACCCTAAATGGACAGGCCAACTTAAAACAACTATAACTTTTGATCCAGGAGGAGTTTTGGAGCCCGTAAGATATCCACAGAAACCTTGTTCCGAGCTCTACATCGTGGCAATAGGGGAACCTATTTGAGGCCATTTTCGAGGCCGAAGCCCACCATTTTGACATGTTTTGAGGTTGTTTTGAGTTTTCTACACGTTTTTTCTAATGCTGGCAACTAGTAGCAATATGAGAGCTGAGAACACAACCTGAGGCTGTTCACAATCTCACAGCTAAGAGCTGATCATGATTTTAGAGCTAAGAGCTGATCACGATTTGAGAGCTAGGAGCTGATCACGATCTGATAGGGGCTCGACCTGAGAGCTTGAGGCGTGCGATCTGAATGATCCACAACATGTGATCTTAAGTAAATGAGCGAGCTTATAAGCTCGATCAGACAACATAAGGAACTCGATATGAAGCACAAGGAGCTTTCATTTGAGAACTTGAAAGCTCTTTACGATCTAAGAGCTTGAGAGCTCTTTATGATTTGAGAGTACAATGAGTTCGATAAAAAAACATGAAGCTTGATCTAAGAACACAAGGAATTCGTTCATAAAGAATATAGCACAAAGAGTTTGATCAGCAAGTGCGAAGCTTGATCTGAGAACACAAAGAGTTCTATTAGAAAGTGTGAAGCTTGATTTGAAAACTCGAGATCAGCAATCTAAGTGCTCAAAAGCGCAATCTGGGTGCTCGAAGGCGCGATCTAAATGATCTGAATGCATGATCTCAATAATCTTGAATGCGTGATCTAAGTGCTCGGAAGCACGATTAAGAGCTCTGATGCGTGCGATTTGCGATTTGACCACGCGATCTAAGAGCTCTGATGCGTATGATCTATAATTTGACCATGTGATCTGAGAGCTCTGATGCGTGCGATCTGTGATATAGCCACGCGATCTGAGAGCTCTGATGCGTGCGATTTAGGACCTGGTCACGCGATCGGAGAGCTATGATCTAGAATAAGTTTCAGTATTTTGACAATAACTTGAGTTGTAGACCTCAAATTTGGATGATTCTTGGACCATCGGAAAACTAACTCAGAGGGCTACAACTCGTGTTTATCACATTGCCAGATTTAGACTTTATTAGGCACAGATTTTCACATCTGATAACGTGAAAATTTTGAGGCTTGTTGGAAAAACATGGAGAGCTTATGTGAATCATGCCCCTCCTTCTAGCGTCAAACTGTTGATGCTTGATTTTGATACCAATTACTCGCATGTGTAAAGTGCTAAGCTGTTCTTAGAAATTACATGTAAATGATTATGATCAGATACAAAGATTGAATAATAAATGAGAAATATGAATTTTAAAGTGGTTCGGATGTCTAAAGCGAATCTTACGTCTACTGTTTCTTTTATTTATGAGAGATTACAAAAGATCGTGTATAGCGAACATCAAGCAGAGGTACAATAATTGAGTTTTCAAAGAGAATATCAAGTAGTCTCTTTCTCATGGGATATCTTTGCTCTGAAAATAAAGATTACAATCAGAATGAGGGTTTAGGATCAGAATCCCTAAAATGAGAGAGGAAGTCCTCTATTTATAGTAGAGGAATTCAAGGTGATGATTACAAATCTGATGGTGCATAGGTGCCGTGCAAGTCCTTTCTTACCTCCCATTGGCTGGTAACTTAAGAAATATCCTCAAATTACCTGGGGCTTGGACAAGTGTTCAGGCCTTAATCACTCATAGACAAAATCTGAATCTGCCAAGTTGGTGACAACCATATTCTTTCTATCATGGAGCAACGTAACAGCTCCTAGGCGGTGCACAGTCTTCCTGAACTTTGATTGGTGCATACTAATATAGGCTAACGTCAGCCTTGATTTTTTAGGCATAACATAAAGTATTTTAGTTATTATCTCCAACATTTCCTAAGATATAAGAAATCATAGATAACCTCTTCTTAGATTTGACAAAACCATCACTTACCTCCCTATAAACGTAAAATATAACAATCAAAATTATGAACTATAAGAGGAGGTAATAGATGATTTCTAATACCTTTGAGGTTTTCCTGACATTTCTTTAAACCCTAGGGAAGTAAGAGACGACAGACCAAATTATACAAAACATGCATATTAATTATATAAGAATTTAGTCTGTCCAATTCTGTTTTTAAAATCCCAGTATATGTACTACAAGCATTTTCAATTTCTTTTAGGAATTTATAAATAGAAAATAAATTTGAAATACAACATCCAAGGGAGCTACACACCTTTGATTTACTTTAGATTTTAATTATTTTTATAATATACTACCATTTTTATTTCTTCTTAGAATTTCTCAACTAACCAATTAAACAAAAAAATACATTTAAGAGAAGATGAAAACCTTGCTTGGTATGCGTGGTTTGGTTAATTGGTTTGTTCGGTTAATGAGTTTTGTGTATAGCATTAGACACTACATTATTAATCTTAATCTTCTCTTTCGATTTGGTTAATCGGTTTTGTGTATAGTATTAGACATGTTATATATTATAATACTTGAATAATTCTTTAATAAGGATGCCTTTACATAAATTTTATGAGGACTATAATTAAATATTATTGAAATGATATAAAATAAATGAAAATATAACTTTGAAAAATATATAAAATAAAAAAGCAAAGAAATTTTTCAAAAGATTATTATTTATATATTTTTAGAGTTAAATTTTTTTATGTGTATATTGTAAATGCGATTAATGTGAATATAAAATAATACAAAATATCATACCTATAAAATGCAAATAAAATAAAATAATGATTTTTCATACCTGATATTTTGAAGGTGCCTTTTACAGACGTCTTCAGTCCCATCTCGCTTTTATACACATAAAAAAAATGATATTTGATCCACTAAATCTGTAAATATACATATATGATTATTAATTAACAATACATGCGGGTAGAATCATTTTGATAAAAGGAAATTGGAATAATAAAGAAAGTATGCTCTACGAACTAAATTAAGAAATAGTTAATTCGGCTAATTGATCAAGTTCACCGGATTTTGACATATCAACTCATGTCAGTTCTAACTGGATCGACTGTGAGGAGCAACATGCGATTGCCTGAACTCAACTGCTACCATTGACCTACCATTGTCGACATATTCTAGTTGATTTTTTTTCTAAATAATATCTTGTTTAATATATATTCTTTTTAATATTTATTAAACCGTTGTACAATTTTATAATTATCCAATATTTTTTAAAAATAAATTATATTATTTTTTGTCATTATGCCTAGTAAAGCAATTTAAAAAAAAATATGTTTTGCCAAACACATTCAAAATTATTTGGAAAGCTTAGTAAAAACTGATTAAATTTATAACTACAACAATCTCAAACTAACTCTTAATTAATTCCATGCATATAAATGATCAATGTGAGAAACCTAAGAAAGGAAAATATATATAAAAAGAAAAAAAGAATTGGGAAGACTTCACCTAATCTTCATGGACGTGAAAGAGAAACTGGTTTACCTAATCTTCATTATTCACATGCAAATAAATATCCATCGCTCATCAATATATTTTCTACTTTCTAGACCTAATCTTCATTGCTCATAAATGTAACTTTTTATATATATATTTGTTAAAATAAAATAAAATAAAAGAAGTATGAATGGCAGATGATAAAATAATAATGTTAAATGCACTAAAGCGACATCGTATTTGACCTTATTTATATTGTGTGGCCTCTATCTTTTTCTCATGTAATACCAAAATAAATACATAAATAATTGTAATTGTTTTATTATAATGGTAATTCAGTTTTCGGAATATTCCTGAATCAGAATCCAGGGTAGTTGGGACACTATACTATATAATATAATCAAATATAAAAGAAATTTAATAATTTTATGTATAAACAATTAATTGAAAATAAAAATTTTATTTCTTAAAATTACTTTCATGTTAAGTTTTAAGTCAATATTTTACAGAAATAAAAATTATAACCTACTTCACCTGAACAAAACAAAGCTTACCAAATTTAATTAACAATTATTTTCCTTGTCTTACCGTAATTAATTAAAATCCTCTCAGCACGTTTACTTCTCCATGTATATATATGAAACATTATTTTAATTTTTCTGATTCCCTCCATTTCTGGCTTTAATTTTACTCTTCATTTTTCTATCTATGCATGCCAAAGGGCTAGCTTAGGATGTTTTGAAAATAATTAATCAAAAAGAAGAAGGGACAACCTTCTTCTTTTTGATTAATTAATCAGAGTTTCTGCCTCTCAAGGTACAGGAAACAACATGAAGGAGCTAGATGACATAAGTTTTTTGCATGGTAAGCAGCATATATATGTATTAATGTATATCACAAGTAAACAACATAAGTTATCCCATTAATTGATGATATTTAAACAAAGAGAAAAAGACACATAAAGGAGAGTGTTTTCAGCATGAATGTTAATGGCTACAAGGAAAACAAGAAGAAGACCAGTCGATGACCAACCTGGAAACTTTAATGTCATCTGTAGCAGGCAAAATTTTACACCCAACCTCCACCGATATTCCCTTTCTCGTTCCAGTCCATTCAAATATTCGATCGACACAAGAGGATTAAAGAAAATGAATGAATGAAAGTCACTGAGAAAGAAGAAGAAAGAAAAAAAAAAGACAACCGAGGACCAAAGAAACTGAATGAATGAATGAATGAATGAATGAAAGTCACTGAGAATGAGGAAGAAAAGAAAAAAAGAATACTGGATGGTGTCTATAGTTCAAATAGTAAGAGCAAAATAGGGTGTTAGATTAGTGTCACATGGTTTAGTGTTTGGTCAAATACTTCACCTTCACCTTCAGCTTCACCAACCAATGTTCTCAATTCCCAAAGAAGAGAACGACTAATAATAGACAGATGGACCTACCCTTCTGTGGCTATTTATTTGGTGATTTGGTCCAAACTAATGCTTTGCCTGTTGTTCTGGTGTCAGTGTGACCTAGCTAGCTTTCCAACTGCACATAGATTTTTGTACATATTGAGCATGTGTTTGTAATGTCACTAATATTTTTTTTGTAAAATTAACTATTTTTATGATAAAGGAATCCATAAGATAAAGAGAAGCAAGAATATGTTTAGAGATTTAATGGAGGGGTGACGTTACTGATTTTTTTTTTTTTTTTTTTTTTTGTAACCAGTCAATTTACACGTACTTCAACTAATCTCTAAGAGAAACTAATACAGCAACCCACTGTCACGATCTCCCACTTAAAAGAACTTGAGATCGTGCATCTATCTGCACTATCCCCAATTTGCCCTAACTATCTGGGCTATCCACGGATGGGTGACATTATTGAATATATAATGTATTATTTATTTTTATTGATTTTTTTTAGAATTTTTTATGGATTTTTCTGTCTTATTCTTGGGCCTCTCTATGGGTTTCTTAAGCGAAATCATCCTATTTCTAAATTTACTAAAAAAAAAACTCCAATAACAACTAGATCCCACTGTTAGCTAACCATTATGGGTTTATTTCATATGAGATCATTCAACATTAAACACACCACATTTATTAAACTATGAAGAGTGATATTATAAGATAAATATTGTTTAATTTATAATGTAGAAGCACTTCTTTTAGAATAAATTAATGTTATTAAAATTCTTGTTTGAGTTTTGACCTAAATTAAATAAAGTTTTTGTAAGAATTGAGAGATAGGCCACCTAAACCTTTCTTTAAAGAGACTCTTAAGTGAATAATTAAATCATGGGGCCAGATTTTGTGAATCATATTGATGTATTACTTGCTTAAATAATTTGTTAATTATATTTTTTTTGGATTAATATATTGTATTTCATAAATCAAAATATATGTTATAAAGCATAGATCAACCTCATCTTATTTATCTAATGTACACAAATTATTAAATTGTCAAGCCACTAAATTATTGTAGTTTCCGTTGTTATATACCATCACCAATAAATACTAAGAATCATAAACATTAAAGTAAACGGTGCTATTTATTATTTATTTTGTAATAGTTTAGATTTAAAAGTTGATATGATAAATGAACTTGGGTAGAACTCAAGCCCAAAAACTAGCAAAAGGGGGAGTAAGCCTAACCACACATATATATACCATAACAGAATACTAATTTAATAATGTGAGACAAATTCAACTTCTAACACCTTCTCTCACGTCGATGTGTAACGCCAGGGCATGCTTAGGTCCAAACCTTACCCCCAAACAAATGTAACATATTCTACCATATTGAAAATATAAATATTAACCACTAGCTTTGTGTCTGGCGGCAAGACTTTAGCTCTTTGGGTGAGTTATCCAGGGGTCTTGAGTTTGAGTTTTATAAAGTGGTCATCTATCACATTTGTGTCTTATGTTGCCCATTGGGCTTGTAGGATATTCAATGGATCTCATGATTAGTTGAGGTGCAAGCAAACTGGCTTGGACACCCCGAATATAAACAAAATATATATATTGTTTTTTTTTAAATATCTAAACTATACATTATAGCCAGATATTAAAAGTAAAACTTATGGCATGAATAATTAATTGTATTATGTAATATAAATAAATATTCTAAATCAATATATATATCGATTTGAAGGGGCTTCAATTCTAGATACGGTGTATTTCTAGTTGATGCTACCATTGAAGGGGTGTCAACTCCTTGTAAATTACATATTTGTCCTGGTTGACTTGTGCTTTAACACTTAGGGGGCGTTTGGTTCAGGAATGTTAGATTACTGGGAATGTTAGATTACTGGAAAGATAGATTACCTTGGAAGATTACTGGGAATATTTAAAAAAATGTGTTTGGTTAGTTGGTGGGTATGTTATATTAATATGTTTAGTTATGGGGAATAAATTAGTGGATATGATATTTAAATTACCAAATTGTCCCATTTTCAAATATTAATATAATATTATTTTTATTATTAATTTTTGAATAATTTCTTTTAACCCCCAATATTTTAGATTTAGTTAAAACACCCCCGATTATATAAAACTTTAATTTATTACGAAATCAGCCCGACCACCTGTCGCCGCCTGCTGCCACCGCAGACCACCGTCGGAAGTCTCTAAAAGTCCCCATCAGCAGTTGATAGTGACCAAGAGGCTTCGATATGGCCGTTTTCGGCCATATTGATGGCCGAAAACGGCCATATCAGGCCAGATCTGGCCGAAAATGGCCAGATCTATTCTTGCCATTTCCGGCCAGACAGCCAGATCGTTGGCCATTATCGGCCAGATCTGGATGAGATCTTGCCATTAACGGCCATGGACCTGGCCGTTAACGGCCAGATCTATTTCGGCCAGATTTGGCCTGATATGGCCGTTTTCGGCCATCAATATGGCCGAAAACGACCATATCGAAGCCTCCCGGAGTCTCCCACCGAATCTCGTTCCTTTTTAGTGACTCTGGTGATTTTTCGGCGGCAGCCCATGGTGGTTGACCGGCTGTCGGCGGTGGTGGCTGGGTGGCAGTGGTGGTCTGTAAATTATTTTAAATATAAGGGCATTATTGTCCAAAATTTTAATTACACAAGAGTAAAATTGAAATAGGATATTAATGTAAATTTTTTTTAAAGTAGGGGTATTATTGTCCAAATTTTTTATTAATAAGGGATAAAATTGTAACAAAAAAAGATAACCCTGGTAATCTCAGAATACCTAAGAAAATGGAAGTAATCAGATTACCTCCGATATTACCAATAATAACTACTATTGGTATTTGAAGATTACCGGTATCTTATATTACTTGACAACCAAATATAGTAATCAAGTAATATAAGATGACATTACCCTAGTAATCCCATATAACCCCCAACCAAACGCCCCTTAGGGTTTGCTTGAAAGTTTTTTTGCCACTTGTTTTGAGAGATTTTTACTTAGATTGGTTTTGAGGTGTTCTAAAACCATTAGTTGTCAGATTTTTTTATGCACTGATTTTGACTGGCTTAAAAATCCCCCAAAACCAGTGTAGTGTATTTTTGAGGCATTTATAAAACACCTCAAATTGGGGTGTTTTGGTTGGTTTTAAAATTTTATTCTACAAATACCCTATCCACTACAAAACTATCTCCAATTATATATATAAAAAAAAAAAAACTTAACCATATTATCCAACCATATTAAATATAAAATAATTTTAAGAAATCATAAAAAAAAATTATTAAAATCTCATTTCTAGATTTTTTTTTTGGAGAAGTTGAGCTACAATTTTTCAATTATTCTAGATCTGCAAAGAATGACAAAGAAGGATAAAAAAACTTTATCACATTTAAAGTTATAAAATATTAATAAATAGAAAACAAATAAAAAACCCTTACCTTGTAATTGAAAAAACAAAACTTCTAAGTACTAACTGAAGTTTGGGTATTTTTATGGACATATATGTAAATTTATTATTTTAAAAAACTGTCAGAATCGCTGGAAAATAAACTCCCAAACATAGGTTGGGTGTTTTAAAAACCGCTATAAAAAACCTCTCAAAATCGCTATGATGGTTTATTCTCAAAAGAGCTATGGTGATTTACCCTCGTAACTACTACCGTGAAACTCTCAAACTACCCTTACCCTAAAAGGGAGGTGTAGTAGGTTTTGATTTGAAAAGAAAATTATATGAAATAAGAATTTGAATTGGGGTAATTTTTTAAAATATTTTCAGATATAATTTCCCCCCAAAAAAAAAAAAAAAAAGTCTAATAAAGTATTGAGAATTATTGTGGAATTTGAGTCCATAAAATTCGGAATGTTGTTGTATTAGTTACTCGAAGACATGAAAGGGACATGAAATACCAATGAGCACGCTTCACTCTTCTTTAAGTCTTTGTTTTGAAGAATTTCGCCTTGTGTTTTGTTACTTGAAACTAAGTTTACAATCAATGGCGGACTCTTCATTAATATTCCACTACTTCTCTCACCAGCGATCCTTATTCAAAACCTTCTTCTTCATACCCACAACCTTAGCTCTCATTACCACTCTCTTTATTCTCTTTAACATCTCCACTACTTCTCATTTCTTCTTCACTCACCACCAACAACAATTCACTCGTTTTGTTTACCCAAAACACTCACCTTCCCCAACCCACAACGTTTCTAACGACACCCACTTGTTTCTTGATTTGCCCCGTGGTGGTGGTGGTGGTGGGAGTGTCTCTGTGAGTCAACGCTCTGTCGGATATCATTTGGGATCACGTGGTATGTGATTTGAAGACTATTTGTTTGCGGGTATTTTTTGCTTTTTCAATTTGTCTTTTTTTGTTTATTTATCGGGTTGTTGAATTTCTCTATCTGTTTTGATGATTTTGCTAAAATAGAATCTTTTGATGGAAATAAATTTCCCACATTGTGTTTTGTGAAGTCCTACCATTAAAGATTGAGACTTTTGATTCACACTGTGGTTGAAGTTGAAAGAGAGTGGGAGACATGTATTTTTGAAGCTTAAAATTGGTTCAATGTGTATGAAAGTTTGAATTTTTGTGCTAAAAGGATTTTGTTTCATTCTTTTTTCTGGTATATATTAGCTTACAGTTTCTGTTTCTATATGTTAAATCAAGGGTATTGGAGAAAAGCATGAAAATTTTTGGCTTCTATTTGTGCTGCTGAAATGCATGATAAGGAGAGAAATATATAATGTATCATTTTAATCAGAAAATAGAATGAAACCATTTGGTATTGTTGAACTTCTTACAGTTTTTTTATGGCCATATTTTGCTGTTGTCAGTTTACTGAGAACATAAGACTTCTCAACCCAAAATCTTGAAACTGCTGGTTTTTATGGTTCAGGGAACTATATGAATAACAAGGAGGTATTCCATGACAGAGATATATTTTTGGAAGACTATAAACAAATGAACAGGAGCTTTAGGATATATGTTTACCCTCACATGCGGAATGATCCTTTTGCAAGTGTACTTTTGCCAGTGAATTTTGAACCCGGTGGTAATTATGCTAGTGAAAGCTACTTTAAGAGGGTCCTTATGAAGAGCCATTTTATCACAAAGGATCCGAATAAAGCAGATCTTTTCTTTTTGCCTTTCTCAATAGCAAGGTTGCGGCATGAACCGGGAATTGGTGCAGAGGGAATTAAAGATTTTATCCAACATTACATTCTCAATATCAGTCGGAAGTACTCTTATTGGAATCGGACTGGGGGGGCTGATCATTTTTATGTTGCTTGTCATTCCATTGGACGATCTGCTATGGACAAAGCTTGGACGGTTAAACTCAATGCGATACAAGTTGTGTGCTCATCAAGCTATTTTTTATCAGGTTATATTTCTCACAAGGATGCATCTTTGCCACAAATTTGGCCAAGACAAAAAGATCCCCCTAACCTTGCTTCATCTAAAAGGTGAACTACTTGTTCCAATATGTTGTTCATTTAGTACAAATTAGACTCACTAAAATTCTGATTGTAAACTTTTGTCTTTGGCATAGTTTCATTCAGTATAAATTATGGGTATCATTTGCCAGAGTTTTTTTTTTCATTTCTACAATTGGTTACGCAAAAGTGATTTATTACTCCTCTTATAATGTCTGTTTATTGTGTCTCTGTTTATCATCAGCGGAAGCGTAAGTCTTTGCAACCAAGAGATTTGTGGTTTACTTGACTGTGCATTCACTAGGACTCATTCTAAGTAAACCAGTGTATCAAAACAGTCCTTTACTCTAGCAGAATTCTGATATAGCTGGTTGATAATGTCCTTGAGCACATGCACATCTAATGAAGAAGAAATGTTTATCTATGTGTGCTTTTTGGTCCATTTCTTTATGTATAGTTATTAAAGTTCTCTACTCATGTAGAGGTAGGAGAACCTCTTCATATTTTTGACTTTAGAAAATAAACATATTTTCAAATGGAGCCAGTTCTGGCTCATGATTTGTCATGTGTTGAATCCTAATTGTGAAATTGATGCTACTTACTTGCCTAACTCGTATTGAGTGTTTGATTGATACCATGTCTATGCCATATTTTACCTGCAAACAAACAAAACGTTTTTATGGACCATTACATTGCGAATTAATTTTAAAGTTCAAACCACATTCGCCATTATCGTGAATTTAGCTACTGCCCTTTGTGTATGTGTTAAATTTAACTACTGTTGTACTCTCAGAGGCATTGAGGAAATATCGTCCCTTTTTGATTTATTCCCAGAGTTCCTCACTTCTCCTGGCATTTCAGGAAGGAATTTTTCAGGATTTAAAAAACACCGAAGATTTTTTTCAGCTGATATAAAGATAATTATTTATTTTCAGGATATTGTTCTGTTACTGATTCAAAGGAATGAAATTATGGATACACGCTAGTATTGGGACTAAATTTGTTTTTATTAATTAGGAATTGTTGTCCACTTTTATTGCCTTTGGCATGCTGCCTGAGATCTTGTCATCTAACTTTCATTTCAAATATGGAATTACAGGAAGAAACTTGCATTTTTTGCTGGATCAATCAACTCCCCAGTTCGTGAAAAACTTATTCAATATTGGAGAAATGACTCTGAGATTTATGCTCACTTTGGCCGGCTCACAACACCTTATGCTGATGAGCTACTTGGGAGCAAGTTTTGCCTTCATGTCAAAGGCTTTGAAGTAAATACAGCTCGTATAGCAGATTCATTATATTACGGATGTGTACCTGTGATCATTGCCAACCACTATGATCTTCCATTTGCTGACGTACTAAATTGGAAGAGCTTCTCAATTGTTGTCGCTACTCTAGATATCCCATTGCTGAAGAAAATTCTTAAAGAAATAAGCTCTGACAAATATTTATTGCTTCAAAGCAATGTGATGAAGGTGCGCAAACATTTTCAGTGGCATCTTTTACCTGTTGATTATGATGCTTTTTACATGGTGATGTATGAGTTATGGCTCAGACGAAGTTCTCTGAGGGTTCAGTTGAGTTCTTCAATTGATTCCCATTGATGATTGTATATTATTTTCAAAGGTGGTTTTGTGGGTCCAGTTGGTGGGACTTTGTACATTTTTTGATTGATTTTTTTACTCCTGATTCCCGAAGTAGCTTACAAGGTTAAAAGTCTAATATTTTTATGTTTTGTAACTGATTATAATTTATACATAACGGAATTTTTAACTTCTTTTATTTTATTAATAATAGCTTCTTTGGCACCTGAGTTTATGTTTCCAATATTTAACTTTTGTTTCTTCTTTTTATGTTCTGTAACTAATAGCGCCTTTAGCATGTCAATTTGTAGCATTTCATTCTTTTATGAATTTATTTACTATTTGCAGATTTTATATAATGTTGACTTGGATTTAGGACCTTTTAGAGTAGTAAAATTTAACTCTCTGATAGGTTAAGGTTTGTTAAATGAGATAGAATATTTTCTCATATTCATGAAAAACACAAGAGGCAAATATGATGTAACTGGTTATTCATGATGGTAATAACATTCTGAAATCTCAACAATTTATCATATTAATTTATTTACATTGCTCAATCATAACTTGATACTTGGTAGTTGGTACACAAAAGCCATGTATGGTTGCTGATGCATGCAAAAGGCAGCAAATGATTCAGAAATCTGTATCGAAAATGAATTAGAGGAATTAGAGGTATCAGATGTGTACAAGTGATTAATGAAATGCTCCATTTTTTCAAAAAGCTGCATTGCAATATATGTGTAGTGAAAGTATACCTTTTATTCAACATTTCTTGAAATTAATTTTTGAAACAGCCAATCATACAGATATTTTACCTGATTTTTAATGTTCTTCTGATCTAGACAATCTTTTTTGACAATTTTTAGTGCATGTTGCTGTCTCTAAGTTCCTTTGAAGTATGGATTAAACCATGTATTCCTTTATAAAAAGGCTACTGATTTTCATTTGTAACTACTTATCTTCTTCTTCTCAATGGGTTATTCAACCTGTTGTATCTCTTATCCACGCCAGAAACATTCTTCTAAAGTGATTTTGTTCCTCATACTATTAAGTTTAGCTGTTGTTTGCTCTCATGTCATTCTCATCTACATATCCAAAACTTCAGAGCTGTTGCCAATTGATCAAATAGAATACAGGCGTAATCGAGAATCTTTAATTGGACACTTACCGATTTCAGCTGTAACCCGACAAACCATCCCAGTTGCACTTCACAATGCTTCAAAAAACTTGTTTGAATCATTGGAAACTGCTACGTTGACAGAGGATAACCGTCAGTTGGGTTTGAAAGGTATGTCAGCTTTGTGTTTCTCTCTTTTCATTTTTTCTTATTTTTGACTGTTAACTGGCATTCTTTTATTAGTGCTTATTGGATTTGCTGGGGAATCAGCTGGATTGAAAAAAATACTTTGTTTGCTTCTCTTTTCTTGGTTTTGCTTGTTGAAAATAAAACAAGAGGTCTCTACCTTACGTGTCATGTTATATTGCTAAACTAAGACTATGTTAGCAGCATAAATAGTATGTGAATTTTGAATTTTATGATTATGGGATCAGTTTCAATCTGTTTCCTTCCCATCCTTTATATAGTGTAGAACTCATGTTGTTTATGTACAATAAATGACATCTAAGTCCATGCACTTGTTAGATAGAATATAAATCCAGAAGAACTCACATTACGCATGATATTTCTTTTTATATATGTAAGAGAATAAGGATTGTAAGGAAGAAATGAAATCATTAGACATAGCACTTCCATATTCCATTTTTTGTGAAAGGAAAAAGAACTTGTTTATACTAATTGGTTCTTTAATATATTCTTAGTGTTTGATGAGGATAAAATTGTTTGTATTTACTAGATTTGTTTATGAATTCCCAAAAATTGAGTGCTCGGTATTTACATGTAAAGTTTGAGATTTGTGCTTTAGCATTTGGGTTTTTGTGTAATCAGTTGGCCCCTTCTTTTACTGCATTTTTCTAGTTTCTTATGAGCATTGGCTTGGATTTTTTGTTAGTACTAGTGTATTAAGGATGCTGGAAGAAATTATGATTTTCTTTTGTTTACTTTAGTTTGTACGAGTATGCAGATGATAAAAGAACATAAAACTTTCATGTTTGAAATTTTAAGACTAGATATATCAATTTTAACCACCAATGTAGTGGTATTTTCTCTTCGTAGTTTTAAGGATATCTAAATGACATGATAAGCATCTGGCGAAGCTGATAGAATTATTCTGATGTTTGTTACTTACAAAATAATGAGAGCAGCTCTGTTGTTTTAACTGTTTGCCAATATTCAAGCGGTAACATAGCACAAACCATTGGTGCATGCGTGTCTGTGGTTCATGGTTCACATAGGATATTTAGAGTATCCAATTTGATGTAGTTTCCCCAGATTTATCTATGAGAGAAATTCATGATATTTCAGTCAATTGTAATAAACATTCATTTCCTAGCCTTGCAATTTAAAAATGGTTGGTTGTTGTGGTTCAGGGATCTCTGCAAGTGACAACGAGGTTTACCATGATGGTGATGTCTTTCTAAAAGACTATAAAGAAATGAATAGGAGCTTTAAGATATATGTATATCCTCACCGCCAAGATGATCCCTTTGCAAATATACTCTTGCCCACACAAGAAGAGCCTACCGGTAATTATGCGAGTGAGCATTATTTCAAGAATGTTCTGATGAAAAGCCACTTCATTACAGAGGACCCAAGCGAGGCAGATCTTTTCTATATGCCTTTCTCAATTGTAAAGATGCGGCATGACCCCAGGATTGACGTACCAGGTATCCCATATTTTGTCAGAGATTACGTCTTCAACATCAGTCAAAGGTACCCTTATTGGAATCGAACAGGTGGGGCAGATCATTTTTATGTTTGTTGTCATTCCATTGGTAAGAAAGCTGCACAACAAGCAGCTTCTGTGAAACTCAATGCCATTCAAGTTGTTTGCTCTGCAAACTACTTTGTATCGCCGTACATTCCTCATAAGGATGCATCTATGCCACAAATTTGGAATAGACCGCAAGAAGATCCCCAAAACCTTGTTTCATCAGAAAGGTAAACTTTCATTTCAATGGCTGTTCATCCTTAGTTCTGTACTGGACAAATGCTGTGTTTGTAATTGACAATATAATGCATTTTAGAGAAATAATCATGAAAAATGAAATGAAAAGCAACTCCAGTTGTTGATCCAGTCTCATCTTTCTCAATTTCGGTAATTTTGACGTTGGATGACATAGCTCTTTAAACACGTCTCGAAAGTTGGAAAAGCTCATCCTTTCTTGTTAGTTCTTCAACATGACTTTGCTAGAGTACTTGTAGCCTAGATGCACCTAGTCCAAGACAAATAGGTTCTGTTACATTACTGGTTTAGTGTTTGTGCATATTTTTTTTGTCCTTTCAAGAAAAATAATATAACAGGTCGATAACATGCATCAAGAATTACCTATTTTAACTTCTGAAAACATTAAACTTTGAAAATATGTTAGAAAATCTCAATTTTATTACCGTTGTCTTTGATTGATTGCGACTTCCTTACTCTTTTGGTTAAATGAGAATACAGGAATAAGCTTGCATTCTTTGCTGGAAGAAACAATTCTCCAGTACGAGAAAGGGTTCATCGAATTTGGGGAAATGATACTGAGATCAGAGCAAATTCTGTCTGGGTTAGCAATATTGCTGAAGAGCAGCTTGGGAGCAAGTTCTGCCTCCATGTCAAAGGCTATGAAGTAAATACAGCCCGTGCTTCTGATGCTCTACTTTACGGTTGTGTTCCAGTGATCATTGCTAATCACTACCATCTTCCATTTGCGGACGTTGTAAATTGGAAGAGCTTCTCAGTAGTCCTTGAAGACGGAGACATTCCATCACTGAAAAAAATCCTGAAAGGTATAAACTCTGAACAATATTTGATGTTACGAAGGAATGTGTTGAAGGTGCGTAAACATTTCCAGTGGCATACTCCACCGGTTGATTATGATGCATTTTACACAACCATGTATCAGTTGTGGCTCAGGAGAAGTGCTGTCAGGATTTCTTCTGTTGTGTGAACTCCATTCAGAAATTTATGTCAAATGGCATTTTTATCAAATTTTTAGCTTTTGTACTCCTACAGAAGCTTGAAACATTGTGTTTAATCCACTATTATGCAATAAAATTCTCATAAAGAGAGAGCTCAGAATCTGGTTCAAAGCGGTTAGTCTTCAAAATTTTGCAGATATCTTTTTAATTTCTCAGATAAAATTGAGCCAGGGGACCTCTGGAAGCACTGAAAGAGGCCAGATTATGAACAAAACCTAAATTTGCATTTGTATAAGAAGCTAGTTTTATTTATTTTAATTATATGTTAAAAAGGCTTAACCATATAACTGAACCGCAGTTGTTTTTTAAGGGAGAAAAACAAAAAAAAAAACAAAAAAATAAAAATCAAAGGCATTTATAATTTGAATTTTGAGATTTATCATGTGTTAATTACATTATTTGACTGATTTTACAGTCTCACCCATATTAAAATAAAGTTAAAATGATTTTAAAAACTAATTAGAACCTTTTTTTAATATATTAAATATATTAAAATATATGTATCTATCAAACCTATATATATTCAATGATAATTTGAGAATTGTGCGACATTAACCACCATTGCGTGGTGGAGTAGTCAACTAGGATTTTTTGGTATATTACTTAAGAGATTTTGAGCTTGATTTATCTCGACTGCTAATAGGGGTGGGGTGACCATTAGAGCTCGACTGTTAATAGAGATGACTACTGAAGCTTGATTCATCTCGACTGCTGATAGGGGTGATCACTAGAGTTCAATTCACCTCGATTGTTAATAGGGTGACCACTAGAGCTCTTATTTACCTCACCTGCTAATAGAGGTGATTATTTGAGCTCGATTCACCTTAGCGCCTAATAAAAGTAATTATTAGAACTCTTACCTGGTTGGTGATTGCAGGATCTCACAAAATTAGTTGAGGTACGCAATGCAGGCTAGACAAAACACCCTCTATCATTGAAAAAAAACAAAGAAAAACAAAAAAAGAGAATTGTGCAACATTTTCTTAGGCCAATAAGAACTTTAGGGGTGAGGTTGGTTATGGAAAATTAAAAAAACTAATTGATAAAAAAAGATTTATAATACAAATTTAAAAATGGAAATATATTTTTAAATGTATTTAATTATTAAAAATATATAATTTAATTTTTTAATTAATAATTGATACAATTAACTCCATCAATTTAAAAAAAGAAAAATTCTGTCCGGACACATGTACTTAGATTAATGTAGAGGGTGAAAAATTATTTAAGTAATTAATTATTTATTTCTTCGATAAGACGCAAAGGATATTTTATTATTTTCCATGAATCTACCAAGTAGTTAACTCCAGTCTCCAGAAGATTACTTAAAACAGAAAAACTCAGAATCCAATCCAATCAAATTTCACTTCACTTTCACTCTCAAACAAAACCAACCCTACAAAATCCCCTGCCAGATGTAACGTTTCCTCGGAAAATATTTTCTCATCTTCCAAACACTCTCCATTTCTCTTACTCCCTTTGTCATCCCAGATTCAAAACCCCATGTTTGGTTCCCCAGAAAGTCGTGGGAAAACTAAAAGAAAGTCAAAATTTGAACCCAAAACTTTCATTTTTATTCTTTTAATTTAAATCAGTTGACTTGAAGCTTTGCCCTTCTCCAGGTAACTTCATATCGCGTTTCTTTACAATGTAACTAGTTTGTTGGGTTTTCTGTTTTTTTATCAAGATTTGATTTCTGTTGCTTGAATTTTAAATTTGTAGTGCAGGGTTTTGTTGTTGTATATCAGGATTGAATTTCTTTGATGAGAAATGATGTTGTTCAAATCAAAGCTAAAATGGGTAGCTTTATTTGTGCTTGGTATGTCAATGGCATCTCTAGTGGTGCACCTTTCTATCACAAAATTTTCAGGTATGGGGTTGGTGCAATATAGTCCCGTGGCTGGTTTTCGCCAGGAATTTGGTTCTTTGATTGGAATTCAGGTGAGTTTGGTATTTTATTTATTTATTTATTTATTGTACTAATGTGTAATTATGCATGGATGGGATGTTTAGTTGATTTGTTAGCTATTGTGCTTTGTTATTTAATAGGGTCGTTGGAACAAGAAGCTATGGGGGCCTATCAACTCGTTAGAGTCTTTGCAGCCATATGCCAACCCAAGGACCAATTATCCTGGTACTGGGTTTACTTCAACTTGCTATGCATTTATATATCTACCTATGCTGGTTCATTTTTTTTTTTTTTTTAAATCTTGTCCATTTTATTTGGTTGTATCCCCCCCTTTTTTTTTCTGATAATTTGATTGAAGGAGGTATTGTGAAATGGTTTTTATCTGCAGTAATAATTGATTTTCTTTCTTTCGAGAGTAAGAACATAATTCTGAAGTTTATTAAGCTAAGTAGTCATTCAGAATATGATTTCTTGATCCTTGCATTAGTGCGAAGTAATTTTGGGATGAATTATTGATGAGTTATTGTTCTTTGGTTAGATGGTGTACCTGTAAATGATTGAAAGGATGCTTTGTAATTGTTTTCTTCTTTTGTCTTTTTATTTTTTCTTTCCCCAAAAGTTTTTAGAATTTTCAAAAGAAATGTAATAGATTACATAGCTTTTTACTTTCCTTGTAAACTCTGTATGTGGTTGAAAGAGGAGTTTTACTTTGGTAAAATCTCAGACTCACTTTTATGTAGTTTATTCATTTAGGTTGTGAGGGAAGAATGGTACACAAACATTGATTTAAGATGTTAAGATTCAATCACTTTGCATTCTACGGGATCTTTTAATGTCGTTGATCTTGTATGATATGTCCCCTGTGTAAACTTTGATGCTCATTATTAATATACTTTTTTTGTTTATAAAAAAATAAAAACAATAAATTCTTACGATCTTTGACTATATCCTTACTTTTAATTTTTAATTAACATAATTCTTCATTTTTTTGGTTAATTGCTAACTCTATAGTTTTAACTGCAACACTACTTCTCCTCTTGGTTAATTAATACCTGTTCTTTTGTATTTGTATACAGCTCCAAGTGAAAAGAGCAATGGTCTCATCTATGCAAAAGTTTTTGGTGGGTTTGAGAAGATAAGATCTTCGGTATGATTCATTGGACATATAAGAACTATCTTTGTTATAATTTCTATAGGGAGTTCATAACATTTTTGTTAATTTTCTAGATATGTGATCTTGTCACCATATCCAGGCTTCTAAATGCTACTCTTGTCATTCCAGAGATTCAAGAAAGTCTTCGCTCAAAGGGAATCAGGTGTCTTAAACTAGCTTTCTTAAACATTTGTTTAAATGTAAGTCTCTGGTGCTAGTAGCTTTTATAGTTTTCTCGCTTCTTTTCCTTTCTATTGACATGCAGCTATAAGTTCAAGAGTTTTTCCTATCTCTACGATGAAGAGCAATTCATAGCATCACTCACAAATGATATAATCATTGTGAAGAGCCTCCCTGAAAATTTGAAGGCAGCAAGGAAGAGGAACGAGTTCCCTAATTTTAAGCCCAGAAGTTCAGCTTCTCTGGATTATTATATCAAAGAAATTTTACCGCAATTAAAGAAATCCAAAGTTATTGGATTGATTCTTACTGATGGAGGATGCCTGCAGGTTGGTTAATATCATAAAATTATGAATAATTTAGTGAACCATTTCTGCAAATTGTATTCTCTTCTTCATGGAACTTTTGAGTTTCCTCTATTATAGATTACATATTATGAGTTTGTTTGATATGACTTATTCGAGCTGAGCTTATAGAAGAAGAGCTTATTGGAGTAGAACTTATGAAAATATAGCTTAAAAATTTGTTAGTTGTTCAGTTAGGACAATGTAAAAGAGTCTTTTCTTGTATCAATTTACTAGGAGTAGTTTCAATATACAAGAAAAGATCAAGCCAAATTTATAAAATAAAACGTGGATACTTTTCAAATTCCAGCACTTTGAGTAAGCTCAAATCTTGAGCTTCTCCCATAAGTCGTAAAATAACATATTTAAAATTTTATAAGTTCTTAGAAATGCAATCAAACAACTTAAAAACATTTCAAAAGTGCTTTTGACTTAGAATAAGCCCATTTGGCCAGTAAATGAGCTCAACCAATTAGGCTCTATATGTGTGTAGAAGAGTTTCAAGAATTTTCTTCTTTGGAGAATTATATATGAACTATGCTGCTTTTTATTTGCAGCATTGTAACTTTCCAGTGTCACTATTTCAATTATTGATGTTGTTGATATCAAATCTTCTACTAGCATTTGGATGTTTTCGATGTAACCTTCTTTGAATTTTCTCATTATTTTTTTCCTTTTGTACCTTGCTAGTAATTTTGTGTTGCTGTGTGTTTTCCTTTCTTAGGAGTCTTCGTTTAATATCTCAATGCCTCCCATAGGAAAAAATAGCTCATAAATGAAGAAAGCTAGAAATTATGTTATCATCTTTCTTGTATCTAGGGCAATCGTTTCTCACATTTTGTTTAGATAGGCTGGAGCATTTTAGAGGAAGGTCTCTTCTGCCTTGTGTGTGGAGGTTGATGAATATAGCAACTGGTCTTGTGGACATGTTGTATTGACAATTTTTACCCTACTCGAGAAATTTAGGTTTCATTTTGGTTCTATTTTTCAAAATCATTTTCTGTTTTACAAATCCAAAAACACATAATTGAACATGTTTGCTTCAATGTTTGGAAACTATGATTTGAAAACACAATGTTCATTTTTTGAAAGCTAGTCTTAAACTTGAAGGCAACAAAATGTTGTTTCATGTGTTTTTTGAAAACATGATTTGAAGAACACAAAATTCATTCTCTGTTCTAAAATACTAGTGATAAAACCATTCTCATTATTGTTATTCTTCCAAAAATTGTTTCCGAAGTATTCTACTAGGCTTTTAAAATCCAGTTTTTTTTTTCTTCATTTTATGAAACGGTTTTTCGAAAAAAAAATTTGTAAAATGATGCTGACCAAACTTGTAAATTATTATCGCCTGCTTTGCTTGATGAAGAACTTCATTCCTAGTAGGTTTTAGTCACTTTTGTCTCATTCTGTCTTGTTCTAAGATTGTTATGATTGGTATTCATATTGGTTTTAATTTTTATTAAGCAATGGTTATTGGCCAAAGCTAGGATTCAAGAATTGACTATGGATGATATTTTTGTAATCTATTTTGTTGAAGCTGTATAATTACGCTCTTAGTAAAGTTTTAGAGTAAATCTTTTGTTAGAATTCATGATTTTAGATGATTTAAAGAGTCCTATTAAAGCAATTTTTTTCTTCTTTTCAGTCCATTCTTCCACCAAGCATGTCTGAGTTTCAGAGACTTAGATGCAGGGTTGCCTTCCATGCTCTCCAGTTTCGTCCTGGAATTCAGATTCTTGGCCAGCGTATGGTAGAGAGGTATAATCTTCCTGCTTCCCTTACTGCCAGGATGTTATTGCATGTGGCAAGATTAAAGATTGAGGAATACACTTCTACTTGCGGTTAGAAGATATCTGCTAGCTGCCTTTCTTAGAAGGAAACATTTCTGAGTTTTTTCCTTGTTGAAGTTATTAGGTTTCAGCTAGGCAGTGGAGCTGTATACTGAAAAATTGAAACTGATTGTTTCTTTTGTAGGAAACAAATCTATTTTTTTTATGGTTGTTGAGTTCTCTGTTTCTTAGTATACACCAGAATTCTTAGCATATGCCAGAATTGTTTCGCTGCCGTTGATGAATCTGATCTTTCTAATTTTCTATCCACAGATTACGATCATGGGGCCATCCAATTCTAGCTTATCATCCTGGTTTAGTGAGAGACACCTTGGCGTATCATGGTTGTGCAGAACTTTTTCAGGTTGGTCGTTTAAGTCTTTTCCCTTGTTTTTTTTTTTTTTACCATTTTTTAAGATTTAAAACGACTCTTTATCTGTTCCTTACTTTTTTAAGTCTCACCATATTTTTGATCATTTTATTTGCTAGATCTAAAATGGAAGGTGAACAAGTAGTATGAGTGCTTTTTTCCTCTTAATGTATTTCATGGGTGTTTCTGCTCATAATAGCTCAATAAAGAATGAATTAACATCTTCATCAAGTTATCAGTAATTTTCCTGATGTCATCGTATAACTTGGTGCTTCTTCTAGGATGTTCACACTGAGCTCATACAACACCGAAGGGCTCAAATGATCAAACAAGGGATTGTTAAAGAAAAACTTAGCGTAGACTCACACTTGCGTAGGGAAAATGGTTCATGTCCCCTAATGCCTGAAGAGGTATGCCTGATTCTTAATGATGTATGTGAGCATTTCAGTTTGTAGCCTTAATTGGTATTTAGTTTACTGGACTGGTCTTATAATTCCAAGTTTTTTAATCCTTGGGTTTTGTGAAAGCTTTTGCAAATCAACAACCGCATGGAACATTGTAATTGACAGGATTTTTTGACATTCAAACCTTTCAGGTTGGAGTTCTCCTTCGGGCAATGGGCTATTCTCCTAAAACAATTATATACCTTGCAGGTTCTGAAACTTTTGGTGGTCAACGTGTTCTTATCCCTCTGCGTGCCATGTTTGCCAATTTAGTGGATCGCACTTCCTTGTGCAGCAAGAAAGAATTGTCTGACCTTATTGGTCCCGAAACATCACTTCCACTAGATCTTTCTCAACCACCTCCTGCCAAAAGTGCGAAACAATTGAAAGAAGAGTGGAATAAGGCTGGTCCACGGCCTCGACCTCTTCCTCCACCTCCAGATAGACCCATTTATCGACATGAAAAAGAAGGTTGGTACGGGTGGATCACTGAGACTGACATGGAACCAATTCCTTCTGCTATGGATTTGAGGATGCAAGCACACAGGTTTCTCTGGGATGCTCTTGATTATATTATCTCTGTTGAAGCTGATGCATTCTTTCCTGGTTTTCACAATGATGGTAAATGGCCTGATTTTGCTAGTTTGGTTATGGGACAAAGGCTTTACGAGAGTGCTTCTTCTAGAACATATAGGCCAGACAGGTAAGATGAGCATAACTTCATGTCATGAATTTTGATGTCTTGATGCTTTTTATGCAATGCTTAGATAGTGATAGTGATAGTGTTTGATTCTTTTTCTTAAGTCTCAGTACAAGTTTGAGTTAGGTAGGAAAAAATCTAGAATACCAGGGGATTACGGCACACTACTAGTCTATTTACTAATATCATATATGAATTCTTTTCTCTTTCATTTTCTCTTTACAGTTTAATAGGATTGATGGTTGTTAAATCAAATAGTTATGTGACATGCATCCATTGACTTATAAATATGGAGATGCAATACCAAAGACTGTTATGAGTTTGTATTTTTTCTTAAATGTAAGTGGATCATTTGCTTTTTCAAACCAAAAACATATGAAAAGTAATAATTTTATACTTATGTCCTTTTTAAATGTAAGTTTCACTTGTATTTTTGTTTCAAATGTAAAAAATATTGACAGATCAACATTTTTTTTGAATAAATGCAATAAATAGCAAGAGATTAAAAAAAAAAAAAAAAATACAATAGCTTTTGGTTTTATGGATAGGAAATAAATGTATTTTATACATGTATGTTATGGTCTGTATTCAGAATTAACATCGGTTCTAGTTAACACATTTGCATTCAAATAAAAGCTGCCATAATATTTGGCCTTTTGTAATGATAAAATTATCTTACAATTGAGGTTCACGTTAGTCTATCATAAGCCAAGCCAATGTTTTTGTGTTACCTATGGTATCTTTCATTCTCATCTATCTTTATAATTAATGTGATTGGTGGGTTGTAAAATTGAATAATCTACATGACATGCATTGGTTTCTGGTGCGATTGATGTATTATCCCTTCGTACCAAAATAAGAAATATTGAATGATTTACATCAGTTATATACCGACCAAAAAAAAAAAAAAAAAAAAAAAAAAAAAAAACCTTAATTCATGATGTCTACTTCTGGATTCATAATTGTGCATGTGTTTTACCAATATTCAGCTAGATCTGATGATTTAGAAAGCACAAAGCAGTTGGTTCTTGTTCAGTTTGACTTTTCCAAAAAGTTATAATGTTCTTTTGATTGTTATGGAAAAAGTACTGGCAGCTTCAAGTAAAAAAACTATTAAGTTTTATTATATGTCTAGATAATGTAGATGTGAGCATAATTAATGGATAGTTACCATTCTTTGATAACATCTTGTCATTTTGGCTTAATCTAGCTTATTTTTCTTATTGGACTTACCTACTTTTTATCAGATAAAATATTTATTTATTTATTTATTTTTTAAATAAAAGATTAGATTACCTTTGGTAGCTCTGATTTTATGCATCTTGATAGTACTTCTCTAACACTTGCATTTTTTTTTTAATCAGAAAAGTTATTGCCAAATTATTCAAAATTACTCGTGAGAATATGTACCATCCCAAGCATAATTGGACTCTTTCAGTGAAGGAACATCTGAACAAAAGCTTGGCTGAAGAGGGCCTGATTAGGCAATCGTTGGTTTCGAAACCAAGGTCATTTTTGTCACATCCACTTCCAGAATGCTCTTGTAGGATTTCGTCTGTTAAGGTCCCAAATCAAATAAAAGGTAATGGTGGTCGTTTTCTGTATGGTGGTGAAGATGAATGCCCCAAATGGATACAGCATGGTCAAGAAAAAGCTGCTTCTTTGGAGGCACGTGGAATAAATGATGATAGTGAATCTTTAGATTATGAATATGCAACTGAACTGCCGGAATCTGATGATAATGATGGCAAAAATACTGCAACTTTACCCTTTGATCGTGATGAAGAATGGGATCCTAATGACTAGAATTTAATACAAAAAAGGATAAGATTTCCTGTTATTATCAACAGCAATGGCACTCAGTTTCCGGTTTTTCTTCTGGAATGTAATTCTTTTGGGGATAGAAGGTAACAGACAAAGGTATTTTATTTCATTTCACACTTGCAGCATAGTACCGGAAGTATTCAAATTTATTCTTTTTGAGTACATTCAAGAAATTCTCCAGTTACAGAATAGAAAATTAGTTGTATACCTTCATAGAGGTGGGAAAGACTAATACAGCGAGTACAAGATGATTACAGGCATAGCAGAAATAGGTCATTTTTCTTTTGGGAAACTGGGAATGTTCCATAGTGGGGAAGTTGTATGTGGATGTTAGAGTTTCATACTACCATCTAAATCTGAATCTCTGTGTTGTGATCATTGAGGTACCAAGAATTTTTGTTTTGTATATTGAGAACTGCATTTCATGTCAAGAGTGTAAATTTGGTTTCGGAAGAATATCAATGATGAGACAAATATTTTTTTCTTGGTGATGTTTCTCTTAATTTTTGGGCATGACACTGTCATATGCCTTCCTAATGTGCTTTATGTTGTTAATATCTTAAAAGACTTTGATGACACTTCTTTTATCTTCATCCATTTTAATTGGTTAGGTTTTGAAGCTGATCTCTCTTCTTTCCGCTTTATGATAGTCTTTCTAAAGCTTTTAAGTGGGTTCCTTTTGTAGTGTAGTGGACAATTTCTAAAGCTTTCCGCTTTATGTTTCCTGCAAAACTCTGGGAGATTCTGCAGGTTACAACTCTATGCCATGAAGGGGTTTCATGATGTTGAATATTTAGTTTGTGAAATTTGATTGGATAAAGATGAGTATTAAGTCTTTTTGTATCATTAGATAAACATAACAACTTAAATGATAAGAATATACTAACTGCTTTTATCTAATGTTTTTAACTTTGAGCAAACAGCATATTCTTACCTGAAGTTTAGCAAAATCTTAAGTTGATACATTTGATTGCATTTATTTTAGATTCTCACCTCTAAAGTAACGTTGTTTTTTTTATTTTAATAGATTTCAAACTTTTAACTATAGCGTGGCTCACGTTAGCATGCTAAAGTGCATCAACACCTTCTTCAGCAAAAGATGGGCTTATGTTAGCAAAAAATGGCTCATGTTAGTAGCGATTGGTGGTTTTTTGGTCGATTCCAAAGTCTAAAATCACTTTTGAGACGACCGTTGGACTCATCACAACCTCCTTCACTTGATGACGTTACTCATCGTTTCCAATCATCATTGATAGTCACCAATGGTGTTAGTTTAAGAATGAGAATCTGAAATAAATACAATCAGAGGTATCAACTTAAGATTTCGTTAAACCTTACGTGGGAATATGTCATTACTCTTTTAACTTTTATAATATATTAGCTACTATTGTAGATACATAAAACCATGAATTGAATACCAATTTCTCCTATCAAAGATAGTGAAAGAAATAATATGCTCTTAGAGGTGAGTACTACATAAAACGACTTTTTATCTTCTTAATTCGTGAATGCCCCGTTGATGTTTAAAGTTCAACATGTGTTTGAACTTAACTAAATCATTTTACTAAAGACAGCGAAGCATCTTATTTACTACTTGTTTCTTGTGAGCATCTCTCAACTTGAACCTGGGTAATGTTAAATTTTGCTTGTCAAAAGCATCATCATACACCACTGGCCATGGATAAATAAAACAAGTGAAAAGTGCAGCCTATAAAGAGTGATTTTTCTTTTGTTTTATGTGCATTAGCAGCATTACTAGAATTCGACAGGGCACCAAATTACTGCTTCCCAACACTCCATTTGACATACCACTATATATTTTTATATTGTAACATGTTTCAATCATTCAAAAGAAAACAATAAAAATTTCTGCTTAGGCTAGACAGAGCCTTGATTAATTTTTTTTACCTTCCAATGAGTTTTAAGAGAATGGATCTGATTGCCTGTAAAATCCAAGCCAGATTGCCTTAAATTGTGCGGAAAAGTATAATTTTAATGGCTCATTTCATTAGAATTGGAAAACAGAAAGGCATTGGGACAAAGCTGAACAAGAAAAACTTATGCAGCTGAAAGTTTCAAATTATAGGCAAAGATGGAATCTTTCAAGAGTACACGTATCCGAAAATCGGCCGTAAAGATGCTAAGAATTTGTTTCTTGATTTTTGGAAGAGGGTGCAAATTGCAGGCCAGGTTTTGTGTTTGACAGCAATTCTGGCCCTACATTACATTTGCAGAAGAAAATTCCACCTAGTCATTGCCCTCAGAATTGTCAAAATCAAGGTCTATTCCAGCTAGACATGACATCAACAATGAAAACAGAAAATCTGACAACAATTCTTGCCAAGAATTTGGATTAGCATGAAGACAAATAGACAGTAAACAAGATCACAGAATGAATGTACTGGGTACTATTAATATATCTTGGTGGAATTATGGAAACAGAATCAATATTCCTGACAAAATATATATTAATCCTCGCCGGCTTATTCAAAACATATTAACTAACTCCATATGGCATTGGCATTAGAAGTGAATGGAATAAAGACAACATAAACATATAAAGGCCTGCCAATGAGATGTGACTAGCAGAAGTACATGGAACATAACACTGGATATAAAAAGCAATCTTTGTTAGAATGAAGAATTGATGAAGTTGATAGTAGATTTGAGAGAAAAAAAAAAAAAAAAATATGGGGGCCAAAGATAGTATGTTTCGATTCGCGGATGGCAAGGACAAGTTGTTAATGTTATTAGGGACAATGGGAAGCATTGGAGATGGACTGCAATATCCTCTGATGATGTTTGTTCTTAGCAGTGTGATCAATGACTATGGAAATCCTGCAAACAGCTCTTTGTCTAATGATGATGTAGACAAGGTTTGTTCATTTAACAGCTTCACTTCTACAGAATCAATAACAAAATTAGCTCCTTCAGCATACTTCATTTATATTTTCTATGCACATTACTTCCCTCACTGCCTTGCTCTTTGAGTTGAGGTGGCTAGCATATTCATCTTTTGCTTCATTTTAAGGTCTAAAATATGAATATTTAACCATGGTACCATGAACTTGATTACTTAGTTACTGTAAATTTTATATTTCAGTATGCGCTGAGGCTGCTATATGTTGCAATTGGAGTTGGTCTTTCTGCTTTTGTTGGTAAGATTGGAACATTTGATTACTTCAACAAACCTCTTCCAGAAAAAAATAATTGATTAAGAAATACTCATTAGCTCTTAGAACTGGATCTTAACTACCTTATTGTCGGAATTTATTTTTTGCAGAAGGAATTTGTTGGACAAGAACAGCAGAGAGACAGACTTCTAAAATGAGAATGGAATACCTGAAAGCTGTTCTGAGACAAGAAGTAGGTTTCTTTGACACCCAAGAACAAGGTTCTTCGACAACTTTCCAAGTTGTCTCAACTATCTCAAATGATGCCAATTCAATCCAAGTTGCCATATGCGAAAAGGTATGGATTTAGTACTGTTAAACCTCTTATAAGTTGCATCAATAGAAAGATGTGCTTGTTGGATCAATATATTTTCACACACATAATTTCCTAGAGCCTATCCACCTAGATGGACTTGGCTATACATTCTCAATGTTTACCTTTTTGTATGTCCTCAAAATGAACAATATTTTGGCTAGGGTCTAGTCATAATTTGCTCGTTTCGTGTTTGCAGATACCCGATTGCCTTGCATTCATGTCAACTTTCTTCTTCTGCCTCCTATTATCCTTCATACTCTCTTGGAGACTTACATTAGCAGCTCTCCCTTTGACACTGATGTTCATTGTTCCTGGACTCACGTTCGGGAAGATGATGATGGGAGTTATAATGAAAATGATTGAATCTTATGGAGTTGCTGGCGGGATTGCAGAACAAGCAATTTCTTCCATAAGAACTGTATATTCATTTGTCGCGGAGAATCAAACACTAAATAGGTTCAGCAATGCTCTTCAGATAACTATGGAATTGGGAATAAAGCAAGGTTTCATTAAGGGTTTGTTGATGGGAAGCATGGGAATGATTTATGTAGGTTGGGCTTTTCAGGCTTGGGTGGGGACTTATTTGGTCACTGAGAAAAGAGAAAAAGGTGGCTCTATTTTTGTAGCTGGAATCAATGTAATCATGGGAGGATTGTGAGTTTTTTCTCCTATAAGTTATCTTAATGATAGGTTTCATAAGTGAACTTATTTCAGTTGTAAACTCATGGTTTCTGTTGTGTGTTTGCAGGAGTATTTTGGGTGCACTACCAAATCTAGCTTCCATAACCGAGGCAACAGTTGCAGCTACTCGAATCTTCGAAATGGTTGACCGGAATCCTGCTATAGACACAGAGGATAGAAAGGGTAAGGCTTTGTCATATGTAAGAGGAGAGATTGAATTTAAGGGCATCTACTTTAGTTATCCATCAAGACCTGAAACACCAGTCTTACGAGGGTTGAATCTAAGGGTTCCAGCTGGTAAAATTGTTGGTCTTGTGGGCGGTAGTGGTTCTGGAAAGTCCACTACCATTGCATTGCTGCAAAGATTCTATGATCCTATTGAAGGAGAAGTTCTCTTGGATGGATACAAAATAAGGAAACTTCAGCTGAAGTGGCTGAGATCACAAATGGGTCTCGTTAATCAAGAACCAGTCCTCTTCGCGACATCTATTATAGAGAACATCCTGTTTGGAAAGGAAGGAGCTTCTATGGATGATGTGATCAGCGCGGCTAAAGCTGCCAATGCACATGACTTCATTTCCACGTTACCAGAAGGATATGAAACTCAAGTAAGCTAACTTCAACTCTCTGAAATCAACCAACTGCTATTAGGATTAGAGCTTTGGTTAATTTTTAAATGCAATTTTGATAAGTATACACATCAAATGGAAAATAGAAGGATTTTGAATGAAATGATTTGGATTTTTCTTTCTTCTACTATAGGAAAGAGCTTGTGTATCATATTTTCTTTTGCAATTTTACTCTTCCTTTAGAATAGTTTTTACCTTGAAACACTTCATTGATGATCTTTTTGACCCTTTCCCAGGTTGGCCAATTCGGATTCCAATTGTCAGGTGGGCAAAAGCAGAGGATTGCCATAGCAAGGGCTCTAATCAGGGACCCAAAAATCCTGCTGCTTGATGAAGCCACTAGTGCACTGGATGCACAATCTGAAAGAGTAGTACAGGATGCAATTGATCAAGCATCAGTAGGGAGGACAACTATAATCATTGCTCACCGCCTGTCCACAATACGAGCAGCGAACCTGATTATGGTTTTTAAAGCTGGTAAAGTGATTGAATCTGGTTCCCACAACGAGCTGATGAATCGCGGAGAGAGTGGGGAATACTACCAGATGGTAGAACTGCAGCAGATGTCATCGCAAAGTGACACGTCTTATGAATTCAACCATCATATGGATGCAAGAAATCTCTATAGAATGAGCGTTGCACAAAGTCCTATGAGCGTCAGGTCAAGTGCCCCAAGCACACCAGTTATTCACCCCTTCAGCCCGGCTCTTTCCATTGGCACACCCTATTCCTACATCATCCAGTATGATCCTGATGATGGAAGTTTTGAAGATGGCATAAACGAATCAAGTTATGCTCCTCCCTCCCAATGGCGTCTGCTCAGAATGAACGCGCCTGAGTTGGGGCAAGCATTGCTAGGATGCATAGCTGCAATAGGTTCCGGAGCAGTTCAACCCATTAATGCCTATTGTGTGGGTTCACTTATATCAATTTACTTCCGCACTGAAAAATCCGAGATCAAGTCTAGATCAAGAACCTTGTCTTTCGTTTTCTTAGGCATTGCAGCTCTCAACTTCACCTCCAGTCTCCTCCAACACTACAGTTTTTCAGTTATGGGAGAAAAATTGACCAAAAGGGTACGCGAAAAACTGCTTGAAAAGCTGATGACTTTTGAGATAGGATGGTTTGATCAAGAAGACAATACAAGTGCAGCCATATGTGCAAGATTGGCTACTGAAGCAAATATGGTTCGGTCCCTTGTTGGCGATCGAATGTCATTACTAGTTCAAGCAATCTTTGGTTCCATCTTTGCTTATGCACTAGGACTTGTACTGTCTTGGAGGCTAACACTTGTGATGATCGCAGTACAGCCATTAGTAATAGGGAGCTATTACGGAAGGAGTGTTTTGATGAAGAGTATGGCTGGAAAAGCTCAAAAAGCACAAAAGGAGGGAAGCCAATTAGCAAGTGAAGCTGTAATTAACCATAGAACTATAACCGCCTTCTCTTCTCAGAAGAGAATGTTGGGGCTATTCAAGGACACATTGAGAGGTCCAAAAGAGGAGAGTGTTAAACATTCTTGGTTTTCTGGTTTTGGCCTTTTTAGTTCTCAATTTTTCAACACAGCTTCTACAGCATTAGCTTATTGGTATGGTGGGAGACTCTTGACACAAGGGTTAATAACCCCGGAGCACCTTTTCCAAGCATTTTTGATATTGCTATTTACTGCTTATGTCATTGCAGAAGCTGGAAGCATGACTTCAGATTTATCTAAAGGAAGCAATGCTGTTCGATCAGTTTTTGCTATCTTAGACAGGAGAAGTGAGATCGATCCAGATAGCACATTTAATCGAGACATGAAAAGAGGAATAAGGGGACGTATAGAGCTGAAGAATGTGTTCTTTGCTTATCCAGCTAGACCTGAACAATTGATATTCAAGGGTCTGGATCTCAGAATTGAAGCAGGGAGGACAGTTGCACTAGTGGGACAGAGTGGTTCTGGCAAATCTACTATCATTGGGCTTATTGAAAGGTTTTATGATCCACAAAAAGGATCAGTGTTTATAGATGAACAGGACATAAAAAGCTACAATTTAAGAATGTTGAGGTCACATATTGCATTAGTCAGTCAAGAGCCAACCCTTTTCGCTGGAACCATCCGCGAAAACATTGCTTACGGAGAAGAGAATGTTAAAGAATCCGAGATTAAGAAGGCTGCAGTTCTTGCCAATGCTCATGAATTCATAAGGTATGATACATATTGTTACAAAACCAACTTCTAATGAAGCAAATGACTTTGCTAATAATGTCTGTTGTTTATTTGCAGTGGCATGAAAGATGGATATGACACATACTGTGGAGAAAGAGGAGTTCAGCTCTCAGGAGGTCAAAAACAAAGGATTGCACTCGCTCGCGCCATCCTAAAGAACCCGGCAATCCTCCTATTGGATGAAGCTACCAGTGCATTAGACAGTGTATCAGAAAGCTTGGTTCAAGAAGCGCTTGAAAACATGATGGTTGGCAGAACATGTGTAGTTGTTGCTCACAGGCTCTCCACAATACAGAAATCAGACACCATTGCTGTTATCAAAAATGGAAAAGTTGCAGAACAAGGTTCACACAATGAACTCATGTCCTTAGGCCGCGGTGGAGCTTACTATTCCCTGATTAAATTACAACGCGGCAGCTCCATCAACTAGTAAACTCGAGCAAATCCGACTGTACACCAACAATTAATGTTGCATATTACAATTAGCCTGTTTCAGAAGTTAGGTTTGGTCATTTAAGCTCTTTGTAAATATGAGACTCATCATCAACATTCTGCGTATTATTAAGGTGTAACTTTTTTTTCCAGGTTATATATATATATAGATTACGTTCAGTACTGGGTTGGATTTATATAATTATAAACATATTTAAATTTTCTTTCTTTCCAATAATCATATTTCTCTTCAGTAAATTTCTTATAAAAGAATCAAGTTCTTAAAATTCAAGAAAAAATCATAAGATTATCAAATTTTCCTATAAATTAAGCAAAACAAAAACCAAAAAATTCAACAAAACTCCCACTTCTCTACAAAACCTCACACTCATTGTCGCCTGAGAAAGCTTAATGTTCTTCTCGTTGAATGTACCATGATCATTGACCATCACATCAGCCCCAACCCTGATCCTATGCCTCTTCGTCTTCCACGCCATGATCTTGAACCTCACGGCTGTCGCCAAATCCACTCTGAAAATCGCCGTCCCGTCAGAAAAAACCACCCGTGAAAGCACCCTCTTGTCAACTTTAACACTGCCATGTTTCCTAGCTTTCTTCTTATGGCCTTGGTAAAACTTGGGAACGACGTAGTTTCCAATGTAGTCAGTGGCATTTGCTTTGTTAACAATGGTGAAGTTCACAGGATCGTAGTAAACGCCCTTGTCAGTGTTGGTGTTTACAAGCTTTAACGTAAAGTAAAGAGTGGTGTTGTGGGGAGAGTTTAAAGATTTGTTGAGAGCTGGAAGATAGAAGTCTTGAATGGAGCATTTGGGGTTTGAAGTACGTAGATTTAGCCACATGAAGAGCGAGGTTAGACCTAAAGAGAAAATCAAATTGCAGCAACATCTGCACCATCCACGACGCTGCTCCTGACCCTGAGGCATGGTGAAAACAAAAATAAAGACTGTTATTTATTTATTTTTTTTTCTCATAGATTTCGAGAAAAGGAAAACAAAGGCAACATTGGATGGTAAATGACTCTGTTTGTGAAGAAGAAGAAGAAGAAGTGTGATTGATAATAAAGGAAAGAATGTTTCTTTTTTCTGAAGAAACTTTGGATTCTTCTAAAGCTACATGGAGGTGAAGGTGACGGTGGAATTGTGAATTATGTTTTTGTTGACAAACAGAGAGTAAAGAAAAAGGAGATATTTGAACAAAAGAGTGAAAAGAAAAAGAAAAAGAAAAAGAGTGGGATAACAATGAATTTACGGAAATAAAAAGAGAAAGAAAGGAAGAAATAATGTTCCTAAATAATAACTTCAAAGGGTTAACTTAGTTGTCGAGAAGGTTTGTTCTTTTAATTAACTTCTTAGGTTCAAACCTTAGGACAACTTATTACATTTGTGACTTAATTTAGAATATTGGGTTTGTAACATATTCAATGGACACTAGGGTATAAGGTATTCAATGGGCTCTAACGATTAATTTAGATATTAACAAACTGGCTCAGATACTCCGGTTATTAAAAAAAAAAAAAAAAAGTTCCTAAATAATCATGTCCAAGAAAATTACATTGTTAAATTTTATGAAATTAGAGGCATTTGTTGGACCTAGCAATGGCATAAAGAAATTGGGCCAAAATGTAGAAAATATAAGTAATCTAGACCCATCTGTTTGAAAGTTTTGAAAGAAGCTAATACTTGAAAGGTATGTTTGACACGCAACATAGCATAGTATTAAGCAATAAGCACATTGTATAGTATAGTAGAGAGAGAGAGAGAGAGATATGAGATTACTTCCAAATTCCAATTCATATCTAGAGTTTAGATGAAGATAGAAAGAAAATCTAAACCCAATTCAGATAATTGTCTCCAGAAAATTTATACGTCTTTGAACCCCTAAGATTAAACAATATTATCTATTCAAATTACAGGAAAGTAAATAAATAATACTTCATTGTTCTACGTATACAAATGCATGTGTAAATCTTCACGAAACAAAGACAATTATTAATCGTTTCATGGAAGCATTTGATTCTTATAAGAATTTTTTAGTTCTTCATTAGTTTTAAATTTTGGAGTAAAACTAGTACAAAATCAATCAATTCATCATAAATATTATATGAGTAATGCTGCACTTACATAACTTTTTTACACAATTTTTATTACATTATGATGTGACATATGTCACAACCACACAAATTTTTAATTATTTTGAATCTTTAATATTATAATAGAATTTATGTGGTTGTAACATATGTTACATCATGATATTTACAAAATGGTATAAGTGTAGCATTACTCTATATTATATTGTTTGAATTAGATTATTAGAATCTAATCATTATAATAAGAATATTGGTTAAAAAACCTCAAAAACAAAAAAAATTTGTTTTAGATCTTCAATAAATAATAAATAATGTCTAAATTATTCTAGGAAATTTGAATATGTATGGAAGCTAGTGTTAGTGTTAATGATTTATATTAATACTATTTACACTTTAAAAAAAAAAAAAAAAAAGAGGGGGGTTGTTAATGACAAAAATTGTGGGAGCTAAAAATGATTTAAGTTTAAACTTTAAAGGAGTAATTTTGGTATTAAATGATGTTTAAAAAAAGATTTTAAAATATAAATAGGGTATACCAAATAATCGTGCTTCTGATAAATTATATTTTTAGCTCCCACCTAGTTGATTAGTAACCCCTATCACTGAATACATCTCTTCTATGATTAAAATAAAATAAAATAAAAATCCCTTTAAACCTCATTTTATATCGAAAATATTCTTCTAAGCTTAATTAGGTTTATTTTCGTCAATTTAAAACTTAATTAAGTTTTTTGTTTTACACATTTTTTCCCCTATCTCAAAACAATTAGGTTTTTTGCACCCATTTTCTCCAATTTCCTAATTTTAATTATCAAAATTACCTTTTTTTTAATTTTTTTTCTTTAGATTTAGATTAATCCTGTCGTATGATTACTTTTTCTATAGTTTTAGTATTATATATTTAAAAAAAACAAATATATAAAATAAAACAAATTTTTTTAATGATTTTTAAATGTTAGGATTATGATTTATACAAAAATTAAAAATTAAAAATTAAAATAATATAAAATATAATATGAATGACTTAGAGGTGGGAAAGGCCTAGGCCTAGTTGGTCTTAGGACTGGGCCATCAAGTTCGGGCCCAATTTGGGCTTGGTCCTTGTAGCTCAGGCCCAAATAATCAAGGACCAGTCTTGGGCCTATGAGATTTCTCAAGGACCGACCAGTCCTATGGGCTTGGATAATCTTTTTTGTAAAATTTTTTTTAACCTTTATATTTATTGTTAATTTCATATTAAATTGGGGGTTTTATATGTTTTACAAGGGTTAAAAGGAAATTGGGAGGGGAGGTTTGGGCCTTGGAGGAGGGCCCGGGCCCTCCTCCCTTGGGCCTGGTCTGGTCCTAGGACTAGTTCTCCTAAGGACTGATTTTTTGGGCTAGGTTTTCGGGTGGCCTAATTCCCACCTCTAATGAATGTATTTAGAAATTGAGTAATGCTACAGTCACCGAAAGGAGTGCACCAAATTCATGCATCGAATGATGTGGCAAAATCCTAACCGTCGATTAATATTAATTTATAATTAATCGACGGCTAAGATTGCATCACATCATTTGGTGCATGAATTCGGTGCGCTCTTTTTGGTGACTGTATTATTTTCCTTAGAAATTAACCTCATTTGTAATCATTTGAGTAAAGGCTAAATTTGTCAATGCATCTAAAGACTTTGAATTTTGAAAAGCACCAGATGTGACGGCGGCACTATAAAAAGGAAAGACCAAACAACATATTCCGATCCAAGGTTGAGCGAAATCCCAAGGTAATACCCTTGGTTTCATTTATTTCAAATACCAATCCTTAAATTAACACTATTTCCTTTATTTTAACAGTGAAGGGGCAAATTGGTCTTTCTCTTTTTTTTTTTTTCCTCTTCCCTTCCCATTTCTTCCCCAATCCGCCTCCTCCTCCCATCTTCTTCCTCTTCCCTTTCCCTTTCTTCCTTATCTCCGCCTCCGCCTCCCATCTTCTTCTTTTTCCCTCCACACCTCCTCCTCCCTGGCACCTCACCATCCCAACCCACTACCTCCTCGACCACCTTGACTCCCCTTTTCGCCGTCACCCTTCACCTCAAGTGTCGCACTCCGCCAACTTCTTTATGGCGACCCCATCACCAAAAATCTTCATCAAGCCCACCATTTAACTCATCAAATAGCCCTCTCTAATAACCCCATGCTTTCTGTACTCAATATCTCACCTTTCAACACCGATTTAAGCCTTCTCTCCCTAGGGTTTCTATTTTTTTTTTTGCTTTTGCTTTTGTATTTTGTCTTATGTTTTTTTGTTTTTCTTATTGAAATGGTGTGATTTTTTGTGGTTGCTATTGGGTTTGGAATAGGGTGATTTGGCCGACTGTGGTGGTGGTTTGGACGTTGTGGTGGTTTTGGGATGATGTGGCTTGGAATGGGATGTGGTGGTGGTGGTTTGGCCGATTGTTGGATTTGGAAGGGGGTGGTTTGAATGGCTATGGTGGTGGTTTGGGATGGGTTGGTTTGGAATGGGTTGTGGTGGTGGTTTGCCTGGCTATAGTGGTGCTGTGGTGGTTTGAAATGGGGTGAAGGGTAGTTTGGTAATAGCATCTGTCAGAACTTAACAATCACTAATTGTGTTAATTTAAGGGTGGGTATTTGGAATAAATGAAAGTGGGAGTATTAACCTAGGTTTTAACTAAACCTTGGGGGGGAATATGTCGTTTACTCAAAAGGAAAAAGACAAAGAGGACTCACTTCACTGAAAATAATTTTCCACTTAGGTGCATTTGTTCGTAGCCACGTGGCACAATATCACTTGTTTATCATATGATATTCACGTGGGCATGATGACCAAAAAGACATGAAAGTGAAACTATTACGTGAAATGGGTTATGACGTAAGCCTCTCCATAAAGGGGTTTAAAAATTTTGGTTAACACATTTTTTTATGCATCAAATTCATAATCTTAAAACACACGTAAAGGTAATATTTTTATAAGAGTTTATTTTTTTTATAAATATATTAAATAAAAAATATAAAGGATTTATATATGTATATTTAATATGATTTTGTGATTTTTCAAACTACATATCAAGGACATTAATAGTTATAGTCGTGTTTGGTTCATTATTCCTGTCCATATTCCTAATCCTATTCTCCAAATAATATTTGGCATATTATTCCATAAATATTACCTAATTTTTTGTAATTACTTTAGACCCCATAAGGTTATTAATTTCATTAAATACCCCCTAAAAAAGTTAAAAAAATAACAAAAATACCCCCGTAACCCATACTTGGTAGATTCTGGCAACCACCGTCTGTGGTCAACGGTGAATTACTGACCGGAACTGGCCGGTAATTCACTGATCTGGCCGTCGCTGACGGTCAAAGATGGTCGTCGTTTTGGCCTTTTCTGGCCTTCGACTGCCATAGCAAGTCATAGATCTGGCCTTTTTCGGCCAGATCCGTGGTGGATCTGGCCGGAAAAGGCTATAACGACACGTTACGATACAGATCCGACCGGTCTATGTCGTAACGCGATTTCCTGGCCAGATTCATGCGGTGGTGGCCGGAATCTGGCACTGCAGGTGGTAGGGGTATTTTTGTCATTTTATATGTTGGGGTGTTTAATTAAATTAGTAAACTTAGGGGTTTTTTTATAAATTTTTAAATTTTACCTTGTAATACTCCCCTATTTAACTACCCAATGTTATTTCCAAAATCCTATCTAAAATAATGAACCAAACACACCCTATATTTTTTTTAATCACCGGGAGTGATTGAGTCAGCTTTCACATACTTTAACTAATCTTTTAGAATCTTAAAACTGTTGACCGAATAAAAACCCTACTAATCACTCTTATTAATGTTTGGGGAGACTCGAATGAATAGTTCATAAAATTTCTTTTTGCTCTTTTACTGTTAGACTATTCAAATAGTAGTTAATTAACGATTATATTTAAATATTAATAACATTTCAATAACAACAATAATATACCAGGTCGATGTGTTTTTCGAATGAATAAAATATTATATCGTAGAAAAAATGAAACAATTTTAAATTGGTTGCCGACGTCTAACTATCAGAGCAGTGATATTTTCAAATTGAGGCAATAATATATGTCTAAATCATCAGCTTAATTTGTCTATGTTTTGCGGGGTATGTGATATTGATATATTATCAAATATCTTTATAAAATAATACACAAATTATTTTTCTTTGTTTTATATATAAATTTTTTTAAACACATTAGCTTTAATCACATGACATGTATGCAATACATCAGAGAGTATAAATTGTCGGTATAATTAACTTGAAGCAAATATAATTAATTAATGGTCTTGTATTAATTGCAGGTATGTTAAATTAATAACATTGTTGATTTTTTTCTTTTTTATGTAATCATCAAGGGTGTTCGGACCAGTTTGTACACATCTCAACTAATCATTTCTTTGAAGCTTTAGAGTTGTCAACCGAGTAAAAGCTTTAATAGTGAAATTGCCAATCGGGTGAGCCTCACTGGCCACCTTTATTAGTGTTTGAAGCGACTCGAACTCAGAAATTCATGAAACCTCTTTTTACTGTATTATTATTACACTATCCAGTGGCGATTATTGTTGCTGCAAATTATTGTAGTCAATTATATGAATTGGTTGTCAATTCATAATACATTATGAGACTTTTTATGATATACAGAGAAAGCAATGAAATGAAATTATATTGCAGATGAAAAGACCTCTCGACCCTTCCAGTTATTTATTTTCAAGTTGAACAAAGAATCTTTGGCCTTGTCAACATACAGCTCTTTTAATTTCTCTGTTCTTTGATTCTTTCTTTAGAAGCGTGCGTGTTGTGTGTTTCAGCCATAAATCCTCACTCTGCAGAGCTCGACCCTAGCTTTTACAACTCCATAAATTCCCGTGAACTCTCCAAACCCTAATTGTATTGTATGCACTACCAAAATCCTCAAATGTAAGTTGCTAAGTATAATGGTTTTTCATTTACATATGAAGTTATGGCTTCTTATGTTCTCTCTAAACTCTCATATTCACACAGTAACTCTCATATACGCCATGGGATGACAGAGTTGAAGCAACCGTTATTTTGCGAAGATCATTTTGCAGGAGCATCCTGACCACCGTGATATATAATTCTCTTCCTCTCTCTCCTTATATGTCTCTGCACATTTATGTTTCGTAAATATTTATGGCAACCTCACAAATTTTTGTTATTTACGTGCTGGCAGTATAATCTTTATATCTTTTCTTTATCATGATCTGCACTTTTTTGCGCTGGCAGGCCATGATAAGAATCACAAAAAACTTTTATGAAAACGATTTTAGAGTGAAAGGTTTGAATTCATGAGTGTAGTTGTATCATTGTCAAAGAGGCAACTATTTAATATAAACCTCAATTAAAGTTAATCAATCTGTTATGATTACATACTAGAAGACTCTAATTACTAGTAAGAGTAGCGTTACTAAATATACAAACCGATAGTGCTATCACTCATTGACACGTCATTCATATATATTTATTTATTGAACATTTATTAAGTTGATTTTTTTATATAATTTCATCTATTCACTTTGACACGTTAATTTGTATGAAAATTTTTGTATATCTAGTATTATTAATCTTGTAATTAAAGATAACATTACGTTGACAAACAAATCTTACAAAGCGAGCTTTATAATTAATAATTGATTTTTAATAAATTTTTCTTTTTGTTGGATTCATCAGAAACCAATTATCATCTTGCATATGTTTGAGTTAATTTGTGAGATTTATTTTCAATCTATCTTTATGGTGTAATCAATTAGCAAAGTAAATCATATCAAATCAATTTGTTACAACACATAGTCAAATAACGATTGCATTGTAAAAAAGCACTACAATTTTATTATTATTTTATTTTAAATTCTATTACTTTCTAGAAATATGAGCACTTTGATTTTAAGCCATTTTTTTTTTTTTGTAAAAAAAAAAAAAAAAGCCATACTCATATGGAGGGACACAGTCACTTTAAGGAGGTTGTATTAATATTAATAGGAATTGCATCAAAATTATTTTCCAATTGCAGCTACATATTGAACCTAATTTGCTCATATATACACACTGGTACCCTCGGTTTGAGAACATAAGAATCAATCAAATGAATTTTCACTATTGCTAAGGTGCATGATAGCTCTTATATATATAATTTAATTCATTTCAGGTCATATACAATCTTGACTGGTGTCTGGTTAATTTAATAAGACAGTCCGAACCATCTCTAGATCTCTCTTTCACATCATGGATGATATTGAACCTCCTTTTCAAGAAACCTACCCTTCTCTCTTCGTGAACCCTTCTGAGAAATTAGCAAGAGAAGAGAGGTTTGGCATGGATGATGATGAGGAATATTGTGAGCTTCCACTGATTGATCTTTCTCGTTTGGATTTCAGCAGGGATGGTTCAAGTAATTTCCAGGGCGACTTTGACGAGTGCATAAAAGAGATGGGTAAAGCTGCTAGTGAGTGGGGTTTCTTTGAGGTTGTGAATCATGGGATTCCTCATAAAATTCTAAACAACATGCGATATGAGCAGAAGAAGTTGTTCCATCAGCCCTTCTGCAAAAAGGCTGAAGAAAACTTCATGAACTTATCAGCTAATAGCTACCGTTGGGGGAACCCTACAGCCACTTGTTTGAGGCAGTTTTCATGGTCAGAAGCCTTTCAGATTCCTCTTTCAGATATTTCGAGATTGGATGAATGCAACAGAACCAGGTATACTTACCTTTAATTTCAGCTAAATTAGCTTAATTTTGTAGTTATATATATATACATATATGTATTTATTTATCACCGTAATTAACAAGGAAATGGACTTCACCTAAAACATGCGAAAGATAATTAAAAGTTTTTTTTTTTTTTTTTTTTTTTTTTCAAGAGATCAATTAATTAACTTGGTTTATTGGCTTATGATTAACTTTAATACATCTTTATCTTATAAAGAAATTGATAATACTGTATTATTTATTTTTAAACACAGTTCTATATGATCTATTGTATCAGCAGGCGATATATATTTAAATACACATTAATAAATATCATGGTATTAGTTTTCTTTTAGATTTCTAGCTACAATCATTATAAATACAAGCATGCATATACATGAAAATATATATATATATATATATAATACGATAAAGATACCACATAATTTATATCACGTACAAACTAATAAGTTGGATGTTATTATTAGGAGTAAACAACTTATTTCCAACCAACTAATGATTTAATAACACTTTTTTACCCACAAACTTTTAAAATATCACTTTATCACCTAAATTTATATTCCGTTTCCGATTTCAGCATCGTTGTGACCCCACACTACCACTATTCTTTTCCTTACTCATCACTTATCAAAACCCCTCAAACCCTACTTCTGTCGACCTTGCCAATCGCTGGCAATCGAGTGATTAGAATTTGTATAATTGCCTCTCAAGTTGAATTTCGATCAATCATAACTATCAAAATCCAACATTCTAGCATAAAAAAACTCGTCAGTCTCCATTCTTCAAAAGTCTCAATAGTTTGGACCGAGTTTGCTATCTATTTACCATCAGAATATAAATTGGAGTAATAAAATAGTATTTTAAAAGTCTATGAGTGAGAAAATATCATTAAACCATTGTTTTGGGTGCCAAAAAGTTCGTTAACTATATTATTAATTATTAAATGTATAATTATGTGTAGTATACATGCATTGACTTGTGATACCACATTATCAATACCATCATAGTATATGATCATAAAATTAGTGTATATGATGAGAGATTCTTGCAGTAATCTAATAAACTACTAAAAAATAAGTACTTTATAATATCCAAATACGAATATGAATTCATTTCATAGATCAAATGGATAAGATGCCATTTGCATATACTTTTGCAGAATGTATAACAAGCTTTGTGTGTAATATAATCAGTCAAATGTTGTTAAAATTAATTGCTTATTACGTATTTTACTACTCTTCAGATCAAGTATTGGTTTGTTTGCAACAAAAGCTGCCTCTTTGGCTCAAAGGTTGGCCGAGTATTTGGCACAACATTTGGGTGCCAAATCGTCTTATTTTAGAGATTATTGCCCGCCAAGCTCCAGTTATCTTCGAATGAACAGATACCCTTCCTGTCCTTTATCTTTTGATGTGTATGGCCTCATGCCCCACACTGATAGTGATTTTCTCACTATACTATATCAAGACCAGGTTGGAGGGTTGCAACTGAGGAAAGACGGAAGATGGCTCTCCGTTAAACCTAATCCTCAACTTCTAATCATCAACATCGGTGACTTATTCCAGGTAATTCATAATTCTACTACTTGAATTCAGTAACATATACAATGATATCTTTTTTTTTTTTTCGGTGGAGTTAGAACATTAAAAAGATGATCTTGAGATATAAATATTAATGCGGGGCAGGCATTGAGCAATGGAGCGTACAAGAGCATTGAACACCGAGTGATTACTCATCCAGAAGTTGAAAGATTCTCTGTGGCGTATTTCTATTGTCCGTCTTATGAAGCAGCGATTGAGAGCTTCAGCAAGCGAGCGGTGTATAGAAAGTTTAGCTTCAAAGAGTATAGACAGCAAGTCAAGGAGGATGTTATCACTACAGGTGAAAAAGTAGGGCTCTCAAGGTTTCTCTTATAAGAAGGAAGTTTTCAGCTTTACATGTACAAAATTTTCAGCTTATAAGCAAGTGTATCATATATCTACACATATTTGTATATATACAAATATGTTTCTGTTCATATGAGTTTAATCCCGAAATTATTTAATTTTAGGGCATGGAGTAATGGTGAAAGAGCTAGCTAGCGACGACAGAACATTACTGATAGAAAACATATTTGGTCACCTTAGATAATATATAATAGAGTAAATGACATATTCTCATAGGAGGTTTAGTGAAATCCCAAGTTGATATCCCTGATTGCATTTATTCCAGATTCTCACCCTTAACACTATTAGTGACAATTAAAGGTGGTCGAAAACGGTGAATGAGGTTGGCAAGTGAAAGTATAAGTTTTCTAGAGGAGGTTGTGGAGAGTCTAATGATGGTCTCGGAAGTAATTTTAGACTTCAGAATCAGTCAAAAAAAGCTAAAAAGACACCAACTTAGACATTATTAACGTGAGTCGCTTTTTGTTAACATAACCCTTGTCGGCCAAAGAAAGTGCCAACACACTTTAGCGAGCTAACATGTGCTATGTCACAGTAAAAAGTTAGGAATGTGTTAGTGGTATTAACTTGGGATTTCGCTAAACCTCAGGTGAGAATATGTCGTTTGCTCTATATAATATGATCACCGTGTGTCTAGTAATATTTGGTCTTAGTGATAAATGACAGCACTGAGATAGATTGATGGTGGAGGATAAGAGAAGTGTGGGAGGTTCAAAGAGGTGATCAGTGTGTACATATATGTTTCTTTTTTAATGGTGCAAAATTATGAGTGAACTGTCGATGGATCTCAATCTATATATAGAAATCTATTGAGCTGAAGCAAATACTATGTTTAACACTTAATTGCAATTAATGAAGATCAATCTTTAAGCTAAAGGCACGCATATGCAACTTGTCTGGCATTATGGCTTCTTCATAAAATTAAGCAGGCCACACATATATGTTAAGCGGTTACTGAATTGAAATATTATGTATAATATTCTTTGGATGCTTGTCATGTGGGAAATTGACGCAGCGATTAGCGTAAAATAACATTAGTACTCGATTATGTCTTTAGGATTGATACTAGCACTTGACTATGCCTTTAAGATTGATAAATAAGTCTCAATTGCAAAACACTTAATTCAAGAAGTTGAAGGAAAATCTGAAAATTCAATCTATATCTTCAAAAGAAACGAATAATATGCTTATATAGAGCGGTGACAGCTAACCTAACAAGACTCCCAATTAAATAAGAAAATAAAATCCTAATTAAACATGAAAATTAATTAAATGAAGAAATCTTAAATGTTGACTAATTATAAAATAAGAAAAAAACTCTAAATATAATAGAAAAACCATGCAGAAAATTTAAACGGCCATAAAACATGCCGAAACAATGGATTTTGGCTCGAAAATGATCCTCAATTGAGGTAAAGGGTTGGCACGACGTCAAGCTAGAAACAAACTTTCTGTTGATATTTTACGGGTCCCGTAACTCTTCTCGCAAAAAAAGTATGACTGTTTTAAGTTAACATACCTATTTAAGATTTATGACCTTTGGACAATGCGTTTGGGCTTCTGACGCTCAGCTTTCTCAAGGAATTCATATGTTAAATGTTTTACGTCAAAAATTAGGCTCTTGGTATCTCATATTAACTAATAATTATAGGCTAAAATTAAATGCTTTATATAATAGCCATGAACATATTGTGTTGGATATCAAATTGTAGAACCGTAGGGAATATCATATGCATAACACGAATAATCAAATGTTTAGTAAATGATTGGGAATAATTGATATTGGACTTCAAAAAGCTTTGCCTTTAGCTAGCAGTTGGGATATACCGACGCCGCCTCGGCGTTAGCAAAGTGCAGCCATACCGATGCCTGCTTCTGACGTTGGCTATGGCCTCTCCACAGATAGGTATTCCTGTAGTGGATCATTGGTTCGCCTAATATTGAACCTAAAATGTGATTAAAAAAACGACAGTTCATAACCATGTTACAAAGTATAGTATTACAAAATAATAATAATAATAATAATAATAATAATAATAATAATAATAAGGGAACCAAAGCTCGTACTTGACATGTCATGATCATAATATGCATTTGACAAATTAACTCCAAACTATGGCTAGCAATTGATGTATTTTGTGTCTAAATATACAGGTTTTGAATTAATATATGACATAATGGCTGTAAAATTGTATTAACATTTTTGTTATGCCTAAAAAATCAGGGCTAATGCAGTCTTATGTTAGTGATGACCAATCATTGTTCAAGAAGACATTATGCCGTCCAGGCGTTGCCATGTCATCCAAGGATAGAAGGAGTAAGACTATCATCAACTTGCCAGGTAAAGACCTAGATAGTGAGTGGCTGGGAGTCACCCACCTGCCCAAGTCCTATGGATTTAAGGATATTTTCCGTGCAACCAACAAATGGGAAGCATGGTAGGAAATGTACGACACCTGCCCGCTAGCAGACCCGTAATCATTACCTAGAAACCTCTTACTATAAATAGAGAGCTTCCCTCTCATTTTTCTGATTCTAATTCTAATAAAAAAAAACACTCACTCTCCCTCTTTGTATTTCTATTTCTTTGATCGCTACTTGCGACCTGATTGTAATCTTTTATTCATAAAAAAGACAGTGGACGTAGGATTTGCTTTGAGCATCCGAACCATTTTAAAAATCATCTCCTATTTATTTATTTCATTTTCCCATTCACGTGCAATTTCTAAGTCCGCTTAGCACTTTGCACGTGCAAATAGTTGGTGTCCAAAATCAACATCAACAGTTTGGATTTAATATCCACTTTTCATCAGGAATCTTTGATTAATCGATTCTGTTCACTAGCAAATGGCTTGTGGTTTTGAAACCGAGCGAGCTAGCCCCAACAACGAGAGGTCCCCCGAGTACAAGATGACACTTCTCCTGAAGTGCCCCTGATTTAGCATAGTACCGCGACATACATTCCTTTGAGCTCACAGCTCGACTCAGCTATGATGGATTACTTGAAGAGGTTCAATAATGCTCTCCAAATGGTTAACCAAAGGTTAGACCGTTTGGATCAGGTCGTACCACCCGAGTCCTAGAAGGTGGTGCCATTGCCAAAAATGTTTGTAGGTTGCGTTAAAGTGCGGAAATGGGTGAAGGCCTATGCCGCGTGCACTACAATGTGTAAAGGCAAGGTAAAACAGGTGGCAGATAATGGGCCGAAGGGCTCCAAGGGACCAGCAAATACTGGTCGTGAAGCAGGTAGAATACTTGTGCTTTGAGACTTGGCGATATGTCGTATCCTGAACTGTCCCACGCCACATCGTATGGGCACCCCCACAAGAGTGCAAGGCAGAGAAACTCCTAACACCCACGGGTTGGTTTTGACCACTTAAGAGGTCAGAATAACTCCCCAAATCATTCATTGCCTTCAGAAGGCTCTATCAGCATGTGTCAAGATATGTCGGAGCCTCCGATCAAGGTGAGGAAGAGTCCAATCTACTGTCTTTCCTCAACCATAAACGTGAGGGTCGAACCCACGTTGCGGAAAATGATCCTTAGGTAGCTCTGCTGCCTCAGATTGAAGAGTTACATCGAGCTTTGTATTAGCTTAGAGCTCAGCAAAATGAGCGTGGGCAGGTCGCTGAGGCGTCTCCCTTTTCTTCAGCAGTGTTAGTTACACCTCTCCCGTTAATGTTTAGAATGCCAGATATGTGAGCATTCGATGGAAACTCTGATCCGCAAGATCACCTCTATGAGTTTAACAACCTCATGGAGCTTTACCAAGTTTCCAACTTGACCAAAATGTCGTTGTTTGGCAGTGACCTTGACTGCCCATGCCAAGTGCTGATTTAGATCGCTTCCGTCAGGATCTATTAACTCTTGGTAGCAGATAAACTTGTTATTCTTGAGACACTTCCAACAAATAGGAAGTTCTCAATGCCATTGAGCTATCTAAGCAACATACGACAATAGAAGAATGAATCCCTCTAATCCTACATTGATAGGTTCTACAAGGAGCTACACAAGGTGGCTAACATACCTGAAGAATCTATTTGGACTCTCATTATTGCGAGAGTTCACCCGCAGATCGACCTATGGAAAAAGCTGCAATCCAAGGATGACATTTTCCTCACCCGCTTCTACGACCTTTCGGAGAAGTACCTTTGAATAAAGAATTCTATGGCTGCTTTCAATCACCATGACCCTGGTCCTTTGACCAGTGCTCCTAACTAGGGGGAGGGTAGTAGAAGAGCTGATCATAGATAGGCTAATGACGATCAGCGGAAGGGGAAGAAACAGCAGTTTGAGCCCAAGAAATCGTATGCCTAGGTTCCTCATCACGATCGTGATAAGAATCAGTATACTCCTCTGAACGCATTAGTATTGACTATTCTGGATAAGTCAGAAGAAGCCAGCCTGCTCGGAGAGCTAGCATTCATGAACAATCCCCCTTCAGCAAGAAATAACAAGAAATATTGCCATAATCATCAGAATAATGAGCACCACACCGATAAGTGTCAGGCTCTCAAGTAAGCAATTGAAGACCTCATCGAGTAGGGGTACTTCATAGAGTATGTTAATGGTTCGACCCCCGTTCAGGAGAAGCATCAAAAGGAACAGAGGAAGAAACACCGTGGTCTTAAGGGTCTCTACTTCATAGGGATCATCTTTGGAGGACCACACCTCACTGGAGATTCTCGAGGTGCCTAAGAAAGGTATGCTTAGGAAGCTCGCCATGAGCCTGTGAGAGTTATGAGCACGGTGTCGCAACCTGCAAAGGTTTGCAGAGAATAAGAGATTACCTTCTCAGAGAAAGATGTGGTACGATTGCATCATCCCCATGAGGATGCACTCGTCATCGCACCTGAAATAGGTCAGTGTGAAGTCCACAGGATGGTGGTGGAAAATGGCAGTGTTGTGAACATCCTATTTCAGCGAACTTTTGAGGAGATGCAATTGGACAAGGCAGATTTGAAGCCTGC